TACTTATTCTATTCTTAAAGTATTTAAGCAACAAAAATCTATGTTTGCAGACAGTTCCAGAATTTTCCATTAAGTTTTTCACGAGATTTTCCTTCATTTATTTTGTCATACTGAAAATATCTTCAAAATTAATTTTTGCTGTTATTTTTCATGAAACTGTAATTGTTTTGTCTAAATTAGGTAGAAAATGGTTTAAAGTATTAAATGAATCACAAATGTCTTCATCTTTAATTGGTTTTAGGACAAAAATTTGAGAATAATATGTTTGAGGTGAAAATTTTTCACCACTTTGTTATAATCATTAATAATTTTTGACAAAACTGCACATATCATATAGAATTTGAATAGCCTACCGTATTTATCATATTAAACTTGACATAAAACAGAAAACTGCATAGTTCTACGACCAATAGAACTTGAAAATTTTATGAAAGATTTAGGTTGTGGTGAAATATTTCCACATAGAAAAAATAAATTTCAAAAAAACTTCATTCATTAATGTTTTTAATGATCATTTTTAATTTTTCTTCTTAAGAAAACACTGTTTTAACTTTATTGAAATGAAACAATAGCTTAATACAGGTTTTTTTTGAAATTTATTTTTTCTATGTGGAAATATTTCACCACAACCTAAATCTTTCATAAAATTTTCAAGTTCTATTCAGTTCTATTGGTCGTAGAACTATGCAGTTTTCTGTTTTATGTCAAGTTTAATATGATAAATACGGTAGGCTTTTCAAATTCCATATGATATGTACAGTTTTGTCAAAAGTTATTAATGATTATAACAAAGTGGTGAAAAATTTTCACCTCAAACATATTTTTCTCAAATTTTTGTCCTAAAACCAATTAAAGATGAAGACATTTGTGATTCATTTAATACTTTAAACCATTTTCTACCTAATTTAGACAAAACAATTACAGTTTCATGAAAAATAACAGCAAAAATTAATTTTGAAGATATTTTCAGTATGACAAAATAAATGAAGGAAAATCTCGTGAAAAACTTAATGGAAAATTCTGGAACTGTCTGCAAACATAGATTTTTGTTGCTTAAATACTTTAAGAATAGAATAAGTACAATAAATAACGTTTACAGCTCAAAATTTTAATATTTTCAAAGTGCGGCTAAACGAACTTCGCACTTTGTTGTTGTAATTTATAGAAAAATTAATTAATTTAACAAGGCACAACATTTAGCTGACTTCTCTTTACTAATTTTAAACATACTTGGAAACAGCTTTAAAAATAATAAATAGTTGCCATCCTTAAAGTGTTTATAAAAGTGAAAATTGAAGAAATTATGGTGCGGTTAAACGAATGTCGCGCACCTTATATCTGGAATTCCACACATTATTATTTTCCTTTCACTTTGATTCCGTTAAACTGCATTAAAGAAGATTAAAGACACAGACTGATTACAATTTTTATAAAACCTAGTAAATAAATATTAATATGTATATATATGTCCAGTACCAGCAAGGGTCCTTAGCGCTTTTTATAGAAAGGAAAATTTTTGATTCTTGGTACATAAAACTTTTCTAAACATGAGCATTAACGTTTAGTCCTTGCTGCTTTATCTTGTGATTGATCCTATTCCTAATCTATAATTTGTTGGTTTCATGCATGACTAAATCTTACATTAATAAGTTAAATTTTTCTGTTTTCATTCCACAGTGAATTAATATAATACTTTTCAAATGTATGACCTCTTATCGTAGTCATAAATTACAGTTACCGAAGCTATAGACTTCTGAGTTATCATGCTTCTTTTACTCACCGAAATTCTTACACACTTATTCTGACTTTTTACTATGTAACCTCATTCAATATCATCAAAACGTTTAAAAATTCTAGAACATGCTTTTCTAATACTTAAGAATATTTTCAAAACTGGCACCTTTTAGAATTGAACTGTAAAAAATCTTGATTGTTTCAATTATCACTTAATATTTTTTAACAGATATGCTGTAAAGTATCATTCATCATTATAATCACGAATTTAAATAAGCATAAAATAAGAGTTCAAATCAAGCAATCTCGATGAAACAATCAAGTCTTGTTGATCTTCATGCTCTTTCTCAAATAATTCAAAAAATATACAAAACTTTAGATAGGTTATTGATAATGCGGAAGAATTTAAAAGGAATGAAAAATTTATTGATTATTTTATAAGATACAGAATAATCAACTGCCCAAACATAAAACAGTAGAAAACATAAATTGATGTAAACGAATCTTTACATATTTTAATTAAACTGAATGTTCAGCTGATTCAATTTAATTTATTATTGTTAACCGCTTATATTTACATTATTCATGCATGTGTATGTTCCAACTGAACTTTCGGGTTAAGTACCGCTATCAATACAAATTAGAATAATTTGTTTTCGTGATTTAATGTGATATATGTGCTTTTTCCACATCCCAATCACGTTTTGTTTCATCTCTGATGTCTTAGTTCTGATTTATTCCAGAAACACGCACAAAACTTTATTCTCACCTCAATATTATCTATGTAAACAACGATTATGCAAGAAAGACTAAGGCATTTCTGACAAAGAAAAATATTGCTCATGCCTAAACTTTTTTGACCTCTAACGATCTGCCTTTTCAACAATAAATGAAAATAAATTGTGCAAAATTTTTTTTTAATACATACATGGGATGTGATACTTATTTCAAATTTTCATTATTATTATAATTTTCACATCTCAATGACCTTTTATTTCTCCTTTCCTATACACTTCTTCTTATGTTCCATATATTTTTTTTTGTATTGCATGTTCCGTTAACTTGGAAATGCCAATACAAGAGAATACAATCACATGGCTGGCCATTCGTTCTTACAATTTAATGATGTATGTAATGTAAGAGTGGAAATTGTAGCTATTGATAATTAGAATATTTAAATGCTGATGTTTTTTTATGGATTTGTTCTGAATTCTTTTTAATTACAGTTTCTCTATTTCCGACATCCTATTTACATCATATTACTTAATAGTGTCTATTACCGTGCGTAATGAATGAATCTTCGATATCATCTGCCGGTTTTCAAAATATAGAGTTCTGAATTGATTTTCAGTAACAAAATTTATGACATCAAACATCGATAATAATCAATTGACGATCTATAAAACTGATTCGTACATTCCATCATATTTTTATTGCTAATCAGAATCAATTCAAGCTTCAATTGAATGAACGATGCAAAATTGTTTAAATTCATTAATTTTTATATGTAGAACTTGTTGACAGGCGTGATTGAGAAGTCAAATTAAAATTTATCACTGTTAATTAAATTTACTTCTGTGTCGCTTGAGCTGTATTCAATTGTCTAGAGTTTATTTTTTTTTTGTGGCGTATAAAATAAAATTTTGCGTGGGACTGCAGACGTGACAAAAGTGACACAAACAGATTTAGCATGAAATAAATATAATGGCATTAATATCGGGTCAGTCCTTTAATTATTCTGAAGATCAAATTGGTTTGTTTTGTGTGACTGAAATTTTTATGAACGATTAGGTTCAGTCAACAATGAGAAATTGCTCTACAAATGATGATGAGTGAAAAGTTCCAGTTTTAAATTTTCTTTCCTAAATAAAAAAATAAATTTTGTTGTTGAATTATTGCTGCGTCAAAATATCTGTGATTTCATTCCTGAATAATGTTATTAGTAAATCAATCTGTGCTGAATGGGGAAATATTTACGGTTTAAGATGCTCTCACGAGGAAAATAGCTATGTGAAAATAATGATTTTTGCTATTTGAACTGAGTATTTCATCAACCGCACATTTTTGGTTTTGAAAAAAACAGATGTGAATTGAGCAAGTTGAAATTGAAGGAATTGCATCAATAATCATTTGAACTAATAATAAAGTTTATGATTTAAACGATCTAAATCCACACAATGCAGACCTTTTTAGCAATTTATTCTTTAGAAATCCCTTTAGAGAATTGAACAATCTGCAGTATTGTCTAATTTAGTGTTGGTCAGATTTTTTTCCGGATTTTATGGCTTTGGGGTCGTTCACTTATGATTTCTATGAAAAAACTTATGTTTTAGACCCCCTCCCTACTACGTCACAACATTTTAATGAGTATAATACTAGGTTCCTATGTTTAGACTGTCCCAAAGTTCTAGTTTAGATGCCATAAGTTCACGACTCTATTATAGCTTAGCCAGGCGCATAACTAGAAATATATCAAGAGGGGGAGGGGTTAAAATGTATCTCAAAAATTCTAGTAAATCGAAGAAATTTCCCACTTAAAAGAGGTTGAAGAAGCTAGGCTAGCATACAAATATATCGTGCCAAATAGTTTACGATCCGTTTGATTGGAAATTGCTATCGACAATCTCAAAGAAGACAATTTTCTCTAGCGGATAAGATTAGACAACGAATGTTTTGGTAGATTGTGTTTTTGTCAAGCCCTCGTCTAGCATTTTTATGTGAAAAAGTTAACTAGATGTTTGCTAAACAATTCTCAATAAAATATCCTCTAAGGTTCAGTTCACAGAACTACGTGTTGTCAGAGAACTGGAAACTGATATTTTCATTAATATTAAACACTCGAGCTAGTAAGAGAATAACGGAAGTCAAAGCGGATTGTATCGTATACATTTCGAATGTACTTTAATAAATGAGTGAAAGAAGGAAATAAGTCTTTGGTTCTTTGAACTAATTACAATAATTTTTTTGACATAATTTAAACATTTCATGAAAGAAATAGGTCAAGAAGCAATGACTTCTCGTGTGATTTAAAAATTTATTTCGCAAATTGAATGGATGGCTGAGTACAAAAGAGGAAGTAAAGAAGATTTTTTAATTATGATGAACTCTTTCCACTGCTTTTAAAGTTGTAATAATTAAGTTTATTATACTTTGTTGCTGGTTATACAGTGACTTAATGAAACAACGAACGAGGAAAAAAAACAGTATTGCATCAAATTGTGATTTCTAAAATACTAAATTTCTTTTTTACTTTATTTTATTTTCAGAATTCGAGTCCACTATGGGAAGATTTCATCATTAAAGCAACAAAACTTCATGCCTGTTTGAGGTAAGGGTTACGATGAATATGCAAATTTCTGCTTCTTACATTTCACGTTTTATTGTCAATTTTGGTTCCATTAAAAACTTTGTTATACATTATATTTTACAATGAGGCAATAGTCATCGCCACCAGATGTTCAAAATACCATCAAATCATTATTCATCATCATTTTTTAGACAGCAAACAGAAATGTCTCACGTCACATCAAATTTTCGCCATATACACATTATTAACCATATGCAAATTGTTGTTTGTATGTACCAAAAACAGCAGAAGCTTCATTAACAAGGTCGCTTTTTGTTTATTACATTTTTCGGCATTTTTGAACAAAATAGAAAAGTTTTTTTTATTTCGCATGGAGATTCCATTGTGAACTGTGAACAGTACAAATAAAGCAATTCCATCGAATCAAGTCAAAACATAAAGAAATCTACTGTTCCATTTTTCTTCAACATTTCAAATTGTTATAGATATGAAATTTTGCTGTATTTTTTTATGTCTTGCTTGTCAACATGACCCTCTTTAATCAATGCAAGCGAAAAGAAGAAGTTAATGGCAATAATGTATTATGACAGGCGGACTTCTGACTTTCATTTCTGTTTGCTGATTCATAAATTAAAAGTCATGACATGACGAAAAATAAATTTACATGACTCTTTTTCTTTGATTCCTTTGAGGAAAAGTAGGTGAAAAATGTCAGTGCATTTGACGGTTCTATAAAAAAAGGTTTTGATAAGCAGATTTGCATGATCAAAGGTATTTCCAGTTGGGGTTCTGCTAAAGAATTTTAAGATTACTATACAAAAAGAAGCTAGGAGTCATTGATAAATGATGGATGTCAAAAGAAGACACCCCATCCTCTATGCTTTACATTTACAACTCTGCAACCTATTCTTTCACAGTATGGTACGAGATAGAGTTTTAGATCTCATTAAGGTATAATTTTAAAAATTAGCGACATCCAGCAAATTGAACCAATGTGAAACGAGTTAATCCTCAAAACTCATTTTGCTTGCCGCAAGACCAACATTAATAAATCTGAAATTGACAAGAAAATCTTAACTGATAAAACTTTTTAAGGTCGATAATACAGGTAGAATTTTCTATTTACTTTCTTTGCATATTCAGGGCTGCCATTCAAGCAATTTCAACATATTTGGAAGCATTCCAAAAAATTGCAGACGCCGCAACAAACTCAAAAGGTATGTTATTAATTGATCTTATTATGTAAACATCAAATAAACTCGGATTCTCTACCTATGGGATTTACATTAAATTTTATGTGGATCAATAAAAAGTTTGCTAACTATAAAGACTCAAAGAAGGTCATTTTTTATATAAACAAAAAATTGGAATTATTGCTCTCCCATGATTATCGATTCCTCACTTTGTTTTACAATAAATAAAAAAAAAATTTATGGGATATTAAAAAGTTTGAATGATCAGAAATAAAACCTAGGGATAGGACAAAAGTTTTGAAACATTTCTGCTGTATGTATAACACTCAGTTGGGTGTTTCCGACACAAAAAAAAGTTAAAATGTAATTTTTATCTCAACAGCAATTCTGCTTTCATCACTGCCGAGAAGTTTACATTTTCTACACAAAAAAAAATAACGATACAGATATGTAAAAAAAAATTCAAGCATAAAAGGCGCGTGAATCCATTTATACCTTCAAAAAATGGACGCTTAAAAATTCAATTCCATTTCATTTTTATTTACCTCATTAAAATTTAGTGCATATAGGTCAAGGTTCTTTATAAAGTATGTGTATGGGAGATAATGACAGGTCTATAGCGAATAAAAAATACTTAATCATCTTCGCATATTCAAAACATTTCAAAATTTAAGATGTTAGGCACTCCATTCTGCTATAATTTATTATCTTTCTTTTTTTACGGATACATCCTATAATTGATGTAGATTTTTTTGTTGCAAAAACCGAGGAAACATCAAACTTAGAGATATGAAAAGCTTGTTGGTAAAATAGCCGGTAGATAAAAATAAAAGTATGGAAGCTTGAACATGTAATTGAGAAAGGTTTTTCAAATAGGAAATTCCTTAAAATTCTATTTCATGATTTACAGGCTTTCACATGAGATATAAATAGAAAATTTAATTGTGAATAAAATGTAAAGAGAAGACGTTAAATGATATTGTTGGCACATAATATAAATAGAGGTTTAGGGGATCTAAGATTGAGACTCTTCAAGCACATATGAGTGCTATAAAAAATTCAATTTGGAAAGTTAAGGATATGCAATCAATAGATGTGTTAACTTTAAGTAAACAGCATCGGAGTTATTTGTCAATTCGAATACTTAACCCAAATAAACAGTCAATCTTATCTTATTCCTAATTCACCACATAATCGGGAATTTGAGAACCACTATATCAAAAAAAAAATAATTGTAAAAGGCAACAAACGACCTTGAAGCTTCAATACTTTTGGTAAAGATACAACACATATGTTTACTAAAATAAATAGCTATTGATAAGAAGCACTTAAATGTGCCATTCTACGTATTGAGTAATCTTTATGAGATGTTTACCTTTTGAAAAGAAGAAAAAGAAGAAAAAATATCAAAGTAAATAGAGCGTGTAATTTGGTAAGCTCAAATTAAATATTTACTTCCCTCTTCAAAAAAATCATTTTTCATTATATTTTTTTTCGCCACCTTCTTTAAGTAGTTCCATTTCTCCCTCTGCTTCTTTCTATATTTGCAATTAAAACTTCTTTTACAGCTATTTTTAATACAATTCAAATGAAAACATTCAAGTTGCAACTTGATATCTTTTTTACGCACGATGATTTTTTTGGTGAAAATGCTCGCGTAGAAATCATCGAAATTAAATAATGAAAATGTTTAAACAATGTACCGACGTAACTAAGCATGTATGCATGTGTATTTATATATTGGCATCAAATTTCATTAGAGTGAATTTCGTTGAATGAGGTCTCGTTAAATAAAATATCTAGCTTAATTATTATTGAATGAAATTTTGCGGGCCAAAGAAAAAGTGTGAAAAGAGCTTCGTAATTGCCAATTTCGCTACATTTTGAGTGCTCAATTAATTCCAAAAGTCTTTTTTTAAACTTTTTAAAAATTCAATAAACTTTATTTCTTATCATCCGATGAAGGTAAACGAGGCATAAAGGAACAAAGTTGTTCTATATAAAAATTAGCAACAGGTTCCTAATATAATCAACATAAATATTGTGACTTAATAATTAATTCAGCACAATCGCGACTAATAATTAATTTTAGTGCGTCATAAAATTTTTATGGTCAATATGGAATTACCCTCCTTTACATTCCTTACATGCTGGGTCGAGAAAGGATTACATAATAAGAATTAATGAACGCACGAAAGCAGCGACGGAAAGAAGAAATGCAAACTGTTTGTGTCGTATAGACAATATTCATTTACATTACAATCGGTTACTGACTGACTTGCTTGCTTGCTTGCTGACAATTCAAAGTACAGAATTACAATCAAAAATTATTGTCATTGAAAAACAATAGTCATATGACGTTAATGGATAGTTTTAGTGATGATACCGATCATGGTGCGGAAATACTTTCAAGTTATTTTTCATGGCTAATTCAATTTTTATTTTTGTACTGAAGAGACAATGTCACTTGATACATGCTTGCTTGTTTAGCAAAAATTTTTTATTGCCTATTTTAACGTGTGTTGTTAAAAAAGACGCGATTGTCCGAGATTTGTCTGATTATCTGTCGTTCAACTATGTTCAATTTAACTTTTCACAATGCAGTTCTCGAGCAATTCTATAACGCATTGTAAGGTTTTATCAATGCGCTTTCTTAAAATAAAGCGACTCCATCCATACTGCTTTGTTTTCTTCTCTCCTTCCATCACAATCAATCGTAAACTGATTGATCTGAATTTTAAATTCGATTTTTCAATACAAAAGTATCATTAATTTTAAGAATGCACATAAAATTGAATGTAAATCTCAAGGATTGGGGAATATTTAATACCCGTATGGTGCCAAACTTAGCAGGGCTTTGGTATGTGGTCGATTCAATATTCCACCTAGATTTCTAACATACTGACAGCAACTATCTGTCAATGTTAGTGTGACAAGTGTGGAAATTCAAATTGGTCATGATTTTTATCCAGCACTGAGTGTCCTTCTGCACTGATCAATCACAATGTCTCACCTTAATTAAATATTTACCTTTATATATTTAATATAGGGGCATCAAAAGAAATTGGAACAGCCCTCACGCGGGTTTGTCTGCGACATAAAGCAGTTGAGACAAGACTTAAAACATTTACAACAGCCATAATGGATAGTCTTATAATACCATTGCAGGTAGAATTTAATAATAAATAAATAAAATTAATGTTCATGAATTAATCCGTAATGCTTGTAATAATTTTCATTTAGGATAAACTTGAGGAATGGAAACGACAAGTTGTGATTCTCGATAAAGACCATACCAAAGAATATAAAAGATGTAGGAATGAATTAAAAAAGCGTTCTAGTGATACATTAAGATTACAGAAGAAGGCAAAGAAAGGAACGACAGATCTGCAGAGTCTTGTCGACTCGTCAATGCAAACAGTAAATCAACAGAAGGCGGAGCTGGATGAAGTTGAGAGAAAGTCATTAAGAATTGCTATGATTGAAGATAGAACGAGATATTGTCAATTTGTGCACATGCTTGAGCCAGTTGTGAAACAAGAATACGAAATGATGTACGAGTTGGGGCATTTGCAGGTAATTTCCGATTGAATATTTCATAGCTAGTTTTTCGATTAAATCTATTTTTTTTTTAATACTCAACAGGAAGCAATGATGACTGTTACAAATGTTACCAAAGATCCTTCAGCACTACCTCAGGCTTCGGAAGAGCTTATAGCAGAGTCAAAGACCTCATATAACCTCTATCCTGAATCACCGACCCATTCAAGTTCACAAGGCTGCTCAAACTCATTAGGATCACGAAAAAGTTCAGTATGCTCAATCAGCTCAATGAATAGCAGTGGTTCAAGTGGTTCACCGAGCCATCAATTCCAAAGATCTTTATCACAGGTAATGATTAAAGAACTGTACAATATATTAATTTATTCTAGAAATGACTCAATATTATGTAGATTACAAAAAAAAAGTATAGGTGTGACTTGATGTGATGCTAATTTTTTCGATTCAATATAAATACATACATGCTCAATGTTATAAAAAAGTTGTTGGAATCGTTGACAACTCTTTGTTGGTCATAAAAGTGTTGTATTTTTTTTTTGTCGTATTCATTGCTAGAGCTTTTTTATTTGCAATTGTTGAATATATAAATGTCAATATGATTCATAAAAAGCCATTTCATAAATTTTAATTCCTATGATTGGCAATTTAAAACTGTATTCTCTCTGTATTATTATCATTCATACCTAGGCTATTATTAAGTTTTAAATTTACTTTTTCGTATGATTTGATTATGATTTTTTATTTACATTATTTTTTTTTTCTTTTTTTCATTTATTTATTTATGTGTGTGGTTCATGTATTCAGTACAATCCGACAATTCGTCTGAAGCCAGGTGAATCGACAGATAGTCGAGACAGTGGATTTTGTTCTTCCTCACCAGCTTTAACAATTCAGGTCATTATTTTTAATATTATCATTTTATTTTATGTGTCTTTAGTGTAGCAATTTATCTCTCAATGTTTTTCTTTATATATATTTGTTTGTTTAACTGAACAAGAAGAAGCAGTAATATCGTTCAGAAAGAGCCATGTGCATGCTATTTTTATTTATGTTTTTATAACGCAACGATGAAATTGTTATTAAATTTCCGTTTGCATTTTTATCAATTAAGAATATGCTGTGTATATTTTTTTCTAATTTTAAATTTCCTAGCACAGCTAGATGCAATTCATACTCAATCTCTTCTTTTATTTTAAAAAAATTTTATTCTCTCATTCTGTCATGAATAATCGCAGGCATCAACAGCAACAAGTCAATCACATGCAATATCAACTTGGCCACCTCCAACACAAGAATCCGTCTCAAATACAGACCGTCCTCATACCATTTCAACAGCTTACGAACGAGGTCACCAACGACCAGCACTTACAGTATACACTTTTCAGAATCCCGATCAGAATATTAGCGAGAATAGTGGCAATAGCACTTCACAAAAATCGCCTGCCAACATCTCATGTAGACCTCCATTACCAATTGTAAATTTCATTTTTTTTTTATAATTACTCATCTTTGCTTCTTGTTCATGCATATCTTCTAACAACCAATCATGTCACTAATTAAAAGAACTACATCTACAAGACATTATTGATGGTTTTATATAATATATTTGTATTGGCCCATCTGTATAATCTTGTAGTCTTACAATTTTGTCTAATAAGCTAATAGTATTAATGAGTAAAATTTCTTAATTTCCTCAGCGTTGCTCTTCATTGGAGCGTCCTCTGTCGACAACAACAAATACAAAGAATACATCCACAAACAATGTAAATGCAAGACAGTGTCCATCGCCGATTCCAGCTCATGTTGCAAAAGGTAAGAAGAATGTTTAAGGTTTTATTCTGTTTAATGTCTTTATTTGTGGAGCAATGCCGGAAAAAGAACTAACATGATTTGTGCTATTTTTTGTGACAGTGTTAATGCTAATAGTAGACACATAACATCGAAATGTGCTACATAAAAACTTATGTTAAAGGCACATTGAATATAAAGTTTTATGTTGTATCATTGTCATGTACAAAAAAAACAGAGAATTAACATTTGTATTTATGATATCGAGAAATTTGTTTATATCTGAGTGTTTTGCATATACTTACATATAATTTTAGAACATCCTGCAATAAGTCAGCCTACATATGTTAATATGAGTGAACTAGCTTCGATGGCTGCATATAAAAATACTAACACAATTAGCAACAATATAATAACATCAAATCCTACAACAAGCACTACACCGCCAGTCTCCGTTCAACCTAATTCGCCAGTTCTGTCATCTGCATCCTCATTAGTATCTCCCGACTCGTCAGCAACTAATCCAATCAGTTCTCCTGATGTTCAGACACCACAAAACACTCCGCAAACTAATTCACCATTAACAATAGCAATTGCGGGTGGCAATTCAACAACAGACACTGTTACTAATAATGATGACGAGGATTTAAGCTCTAAAGAACATTATTCTACGTCCACGACACCAACTAACCAAAATGCACCAGTTAATAATAATAATAACACAACTACAACCTCATCATCAACATTAGACAATAATATTTCCATTATTGAAACAATAACGACTACTTTGAGTACTATGAGTATAATTGGTACAACTTCTGCAGCTGTTGCTGAGTTGACAAAGTGTGAATCTCCTTTAATTGACACAAAGAGCTCTGGCTCAGTTCTTGATAAAGCATCAATGTTTGAGAAGAAGCTTGAAGAACAGCAAACTCAAATAAATGCAACACCGACACAGCAACAAAGTTCACATCATCCAATTTCCTTAATAAACAGTACACTTAATTTAACGCCAGCAACAGTGGCACGATTAGAGTCCATTTATGGCAAAAAGACAGAAGAAATTTACAATAAAACCGCGGTTTTGTTGGAAAAAGTTGATACAGGTCAGTTATTGTTTCTATCTTATATCATATCATATGTGTCTACTTCTTATGTCTTATCCTATCTTGTATATGGACAGTTTGTTAGTGCTTGTCAGCATATTTTAGTGCATAATTCTGACAATCTTTCTTCCTTTCGCTTCTTTTATTTTGACTTATAAAATTGTTTTAAAAAGAACAAAAAGAAAATCGATGAATTTCAAAGTAGGTCGCATTTCAATTTATTGCCATCATTTCTGAAAATATAATGGCAGCAACACGAAAAGCATGAATGCAGAAATAACTGTAATAAAAGGATAGAAATGTTCTGAAAAGTACTATTTTTTTCGAGTGAAATTCGACCCTAACAGAGCATGTATAAAGCATACCATTTTAGTTTATGTGTATTTACTCCTTTGTGGCTTGATTTGATGTTCCGTAACTGTGCTGAAATTACTGTTTAAAAATAAACTGTCATTTTAAATTTGATATTTTTAGTTCTGTGACCAAGTTCATGTGTATTAAATTCAAATATTTTTGTAACGGAAATTCTTTCGACCTGCTTAGGAGCTCTGAAATGTGTTAATGACTTTACAGAGAATTAAAAAACTTAATTGCCTTACGTAACATCTAAACAATCCCAATTTTTCCATAAAAAAGTTTTTCATGAAAACTGATAAATTTTATTTTTATGGGTGGTTTTATATATTAAGTACACAAAAACTAACGAATATTTCTGTCATTTCCTATACCTTTTTCTAAATAATATAAAAACAAATGTCTGAGTTGTATCTGCTCTGTGTTGTTGTCTGTTTGAAAAAGCTTTCGACTTAATCCTCTTAGAATTTTTCCATTAAAGCCTTTTTTAAATTAATTCATTAGAAATTTATCAGAGCAAAAAATAATTATTTTTTATCAATAATGTACATAGTGAATAATGAACATAGATAAGGTCAAGGTGTGGCACATTTTGTGGTAATTTTAACAAACTTTTTTTTGTGTGGTGGAAACGATAAACTGTGATTAACACTTAGAACTTTGATAGCGTTCGACAAACATTGATGGGTTGTTTGAATCTTTTGGACATACTTTGGGTTTTTTTTCAATTCTACCGATTAGGTCTATACTCTTGACTAATATAAAGTTCGAAGCTTAAATCCATAGATTAATTTAAATCCTACATTTAAATCAATATCTCCTAATCCAGTCTAATCCAGCCAATGTTTTCATAAATAAGTTAAACTAGATATATTTCAAGATTGACACACCTTGATTATCATTATAATATGCAAAACTGAAGTGTACAGTTTAAATTCAAGTTTTATATACTCGATCGTCTTTATAGTAAAAAGAAAGTGTTTCCTCTCGAGAGAATAATTTCCATTCTCACGGTAGCATGTAATATACTGTGTCTTTAGAGTCTAATGTTAAATTAACCTGCATGACTGACTAATAATGGCTAAGCTAAAATAATAATAATAATAATAATAATGTTTAAAGTAGAACGTTTGAGCTGTTTTGCCTTTCTTTATTATTGAGCACCATGACAATACGCAAAATATATACTAAAACATAATCATTTCTCATCGTAAATTAAGTTAATCTTTTTATTTCTATTATTTATGATTATTTTAATTTATTTTATCATTTGCAAATTTGTTTTTTTTTTCTTTTTTTCTTTTTTCTTTCATGTTTAATATTCTTTTTATTATTATGTCGTTGTTGTTATGTTATGTGACCAAAAAAAATAATAATAATAACTTGCTATACGCAAATCATCATCATCATCTATTTATACACAAAATACATAAATCATCTCCTCCTGATCATCCCCCCCGAAATAATAAAAACGAATCCATAAACTACTGCAGTTGAGACGCTAGATGTAATCGACACGATAGAATTAGACAACCTAATTGGAGAGCTCGACATGTTTCAGAGAGAGCACGAGGAGAAGGAGAAGAAACGATTGGAGAGGCAGCAAAGCAACGAGTATCAAGTCCCCAAAAATTCCATAGTCCAAACACAAAAAACACATCATAATGATTCTTTCATATCCACATCAACAACAATAACAGGAACATTTTCGCACGCTTTCAGTAATAATAATAATTCAGATGAGTGTAGTGAGAAAAGTACTGATAAAGTTTCACTAAATGCAAGCTTAAATTATTCAATCACAAGCAATACTAGCATGATGACAAATGCCACGTTAAGTGATGTACAAAAAACATTTAATAGTAGTGAAAATTGTTGGAATGATAACAATAATGACGATGATTTATCGGCAGATACAGGTTTCGAAAATCCATCATTTAGACATTTAAATGACACCAATATTGTACTGATGCGTGACGATGATTTGCCGCCCAACTATTACTCGCAAAATGCGACAGATGTAGTTGTGTTACGATCAAAAAGCAATAGTATGGGAAGCAATAATAATAGCATAACTGATCTCCACACAATCGATATGACAAATGAGCAAAAGCAACGATTAAGCTCTTTCAAGCTTGATAACAATAATCTGTCGCTGGCTTCATCTAATGGACAGGGATCACCGTCTCACTATTTTAGTATCAATAATAGTAATAGCATCAATAATAACAATCCAATCCCGAACGTAAATAAGGCCTCCTTACATAAATCATTTGGTGCCTTAATGTATGGACAAACGGAAGAGCCAATAACCAGTAACAATGTCAATGTTAATAATAATGTCAATGTTGTAACATCCAGTAATAAACCAGCTGTAACGCCACGTCCTGCATCTTTATTGTCTGGTATATTTTCACTTCTACTTACTTACTCAAATTTACTTAAATTCAAGGATACGAATCGTTATATCCTCATATTACTTAATTGATTTTATAATTTTATTAACAATTTATCATTTTCTATCAATTTTTTTTATTTACCTTTTCTTATCATTTCCTTAATTACCAACGGAACTGCTCAATCCCTTTTTAGATAACCCGAGCAATTAATTGAAAATTGGTCATTTTACTGTGTCGTCACTTTTGAAATCTAACGAACTTTTGAGATTCAAATTTTAACGGATTTTTCTGCCTCAGTTCAGTTGCCTCTACATTAAGTTTTTGGAAGCTTTGATTAGCTAATTCTTGTGACGTGAAGAAGTCACACAAAATATTTGAAATAAAACTCACTTGAAAATGTGAAGACGGCTGAAGTGAAAAAACAAAAATTTGAATTTAAAAACACGGTTATATTTGACCTTTTCGATGTAGCTCAATCAAAATTTTCTTGACAAGTGTAAGGAATCAATAATGAAGAGAAGTAATTTAGTCATGCAATTAAGGAATTTAAACTATTGTATTGTGGACATTTGTGGTCATTTTTGAGGTGTTTATAGCTGTCAATTGAGATCACAATGACCACATTCCAAGTGTTTAATTCCTTTAATAATAAAATTGTCATTAAATTCAACTCATTTTCAACATCATTTACATTTAGTTTTTGTATCTGTAACTAGAACTATCTGATAGAATCGAAGCGAATTTAAAGTTTTTTTTACTGTGTTTAAGACCTTTCCTACATGCCAAGGTCGTGCTGTTGATTTATTTTCATTTTTATTCAGATAATTGAATTTAGTTTAATTTTAGTTGATTTATTGAAATGAATTAGAAATTGATAGAGATTGACGGATTTGATGGAGCAGAATGGATAAACGAATATTTATTACCCTAATATGCATGAATTGAGTCTTTCCGAAAAAATAATCTTTCATGATATTTATTGTCTTATTTTTATTTTTAAATTCCAGTTTAGATTTTAGTTGCGAAAAAAATTGCTTATTGGAACTTAAAAAATGTCATAGAAGATTCCTCAATCTGAGAATAGATTTTTACCTTACTTATAAATTATTTAAGGAGTTGTTCATGATCAATATGAATTTTTAATGATAACGGAAGTTCGTCTTAATGCTAAATCCCCTTCAATTCAGTGCTGTTATCTGACATAGACATGATCTCGTTTGTCTAGATTTCTCTTACTTTATGTTAAATCTAGACAATACCAAAAGTCCAAGTCTTAATGTCAAAATAGCAAGTATTGCTTATATCCAATGATATTTAAAATTTATATTAACAGATCATTATTCCTATATTTAGGTGTTTCGAGAATAGCTCGAAGATCGTCCGTAAATACAGTCAAACCACCACCGCCAGTTCGAAGAAGTTCATCAGCTACACCAAATCATTACAGTGATGCCAATGTAAGTTGTATTCCATGCTTAAATATTTACATACTTACTTCTTGATTATAATCAGGATTTGCCTTTTGAGCACTATTGACTCATGAGTGATTTCTTGGGAGCAAGGCATGGGCGCTTTTGAAAAGTTCAGGAATTACAGACAGTATAATAAATAACGTAATTGTTTAACTGATTTCTCTCTCATCTCAAAATGAATGTAACGTAGAATGTACTTAAACCTAACATACAAGTAGCCTGACTAAGAGTTTACTACTCATTAATACCATGATCAGTTCAGCGAGCATATGCTTCTAATTAGTGTCAGGGATCATTCACGTATGACAACAATCATTTAACGTTGTAGGGATTGGTCTGAAATTTTAAAAAAACTTCAAACAAAAGACATGCCCTTTAATTGTCCATGTCTTGCTCGATATGAAAAAAGCCCGCTCTTAAAGCTTAGTATCAGAATGATAAAGTATATATCCAGTGCAGATATCGCGAAATGTCAACAAGATTAAATTATCAGATATCGATTACCTTAAAAAATGATCTGATACTAAGCCTCAGTTTGCTTCCAAAGAATAACAATTTATAGATATACAGTCGTTCTGTAAGCAATTGTCTCTCATCAATCATTATGTCATCATTCTTTTGTTTTTTCAATTCAAATAAATTTTGTACTTCCTTTCATATACTTTTTATGTATTTTTGATATTTTAAAGTAGATACAATTTTTTTGGCTTCTCGAAAGCTTTTAATCTGCACAGCGCAAATGCTATGACAAAAGGCTTAAGACTTAAGAAAAATTGATTCTGCTATAATACTTTTAAAGAACACAAGATTGTTACATGTTTTATCTTTGCTATCTTTTAATTTAAGAAAGTTTTTAAATGTTTTATAATTTTTATTCATTAACAAACTTCCTTTCGATGCTCGAAAAACCTATTTTCGGGTATGGAATAAAAACCATTGAACTTATGTTTTGTAGAACTCACATAACAATCAGTTACAAAATCAACAGCAATTTAATTCATCGTCTGAAGCATTGCCGCCACCGCCTGATTATTTGCTTCGCAGTCAGCAGCAAGCAGCAGCTCAACAACAACAAAATGCACTACATCATCATCAAAATGCACAGCAGCAGCAACAACAACAACAACATCATTATAGTCATCATGCAGAGCACAATGCTAATGCTAAAACGCACTATATGACTTCCTCTACGTCCGTAGGACAAATTTCGTCACAACTCTCGACACAGAATGTCAGAACAGTCAATGATTTGCGCAATGCTCCTAACAGTCCTGGCGTAATGCGACGCCAACTATCGCTTAGCAATCATCATCCTTCATCAAACCATTCACAGTCCTCACATGTAATTAATGTACTTTTTTTTTGTTTGATTTTTTTCTTACTCACTTCCAACCTTTACCTGTCATTATTTATTTTGAAATTTTCCAACATTTTTAAACTTTTGTTTTAACTAAATACACACTATAGTGACTATAGACATAACAGATTTTTATGTAACATGCATTTTCTTTTCTTTAAAAATTGCATTTCAATCATCACTTGGCTAATAAGATGTTCATTTTTATAAAAAAAAAAAAAATACCTTTTTTTTAAACTTTCAATACCTTCACAGTCCATTTATTAATAAATTTTCATTCTTTTGGCTTCATAAATCAGAGCATCACGTATAGTTCGCAACCATCAACACCAAAAATTGAAAAGGAAGGTAGTGGAAGTATGTTCTCGATTTATGGCTTAACTACTGGAAGTGGAAATGCTAATGGAACGACGTACAGCAGTGGCGATATATTTGGAACGGTAATGATTCTGCAGCAGTAATAAAATAAGTATAAAGCTAATTTATGTGTAATTTTAATAGATGCCACGGCAAACTAAATCTCAACAAGGCGTTTATGCACAACCGAAACAAGTTAGTGGAATCTCGAGCTTCCGAAACTCAAGTCCAAGTAAGTTTTTAACGGTTTTTTAAAATTTGAAATTAACCGTTGACGTGAATTTAAAATGACGGCTAAAATTCAAAATAAAAAAAGACGTTAAATTTCAATCTCGAAAAGATTAATTGCAATGCTGATTAATGAGCATGTAATTCCTTCTTGACCCGACATCAAATAATTATTACTATTTTATGGCTTGTAATATAATTAATAGACTTAATATTTCTTTTTTATCGCTTAATTTATTAGATCCGCCACCCCAGAAACAAAGTATGGGACTTTTAGCTTCACTTACAGCAAAAATAGCCCCCAATAAATCTCACAATCAGCAGCAACAGCAACAACAACAACAGAATCAGCAGCAGCAACAACAACAGCAACAGAGTGATTACGATAGGTCACGAAATGAGCCAATTTATCAGCGACGAAGTTCCAATCAGTCAAATCAATATTATGATACGGCACAACAACAACAACAGCAGCAACAGCCAAATTATGGAGATCGTCAAAGTGACGGTAAAAATCAAATTTACTCGCAATCATCTAATCATCAGTATCAACACCAGTATAGTATCTATAATCAAAATATTTATGTGTCGACAAATCCATTTATAACGCCACCGATAAATAATTACTCGCCGTCTAGTTTTGGCAAGGATAATTATTCAAGTAATGTCTTAAATCAATTGAGTATTGAGTGTGATATTTAGAGTTGACATAGAATTTGCTTAATTTCTTTTATTGTTTTGAATATGCCCAAGAAAATGAGCTATTTAGTGTGTGTGAAAAAATTTCAAATGCAAATTTTCAAGCACGATAGACATTAATAACTTTATAATTTAATATTTTGTTAACATTTTAGAGGTACACATTTATTAGAACTGATTCAACTGAGTATGGAAACTCTTTTTGTTCTGTTTTGTTGATGCGATGATGATTTTTATTATGATTTTTCCATGGGTTTCATTCATTAATGACGTAAAAAAATTTATAGACGTCACTTGTGAATAGTCCCAATTTTCATAGATTTATTTTTAATGCCATTCACATTTTAGCATTTTAGTAGAATTGTGATCATTAAAATTATCCCATAATTCCTATACTAACTCACTTCCTCTTGACTCCCTCAGACTATCAAACTGGAAATTATGGCGATAAGACAGACAGTGTTTTGGCAAAAGCTAATCCAAACTTTTTAGATAACTTGAATGCCAAATTAGCAGAGCAACATGCGACGAATAAAGCATTAGCTGTAAGGAGCTTTATTAACAGTAAAGTTGTGGTAAGTACATATTAGTTTTAAACATTTTTCACCTTGAGCACCAGAGCAGTTTTAAAAAGTTACAAAATTTTTAACGGGTTTTTAATATTCAAAAATTATGTTTTGGAACTTTTCAAAAATTTGAATAAAAAAATTACCGTTATTTATTGAAATTTTTACTAAGAAGAATCATAAATTTTTATTACGGAATAAATCAATTGAAACAAATGATAAGCATATTTATGTTATCTTATATTATTTATTGATTAAAAATTATTGAGGACATTTAAAGTGCTTTCAACGAGCTTTAACTTCCTTTTTTTAATAAAAAGTATCAAGTTCTCCTAAAATAATCTGCTCTGGTCCTTTGAGGATTGAATCTACTCCCATCTGTATGAGTTTTAAATAAAATGAGAAAATTTTTCAAAATTATTCAGCGAAATGGTAGTCAAATTCCGTGTAATATCAAATATGTAGCAAATCGAATTGTTGAAGAGCCGGAGGTAAGGAATTAAAATTGGGAACGAGAGAAAAAAGGATGTAATAAAACATAAAACTGTAACATTGGCATACATGAATGGTGTTCCTTCCTAAAACAAATATTTGATATTTCACATTTTTCACAATTAACCTTTTTTCGGTGCTTTGCTGCTAAAACAATTCATAAATTACTAATTGCTGTGACTTGCTCATTGAGAATCCCTTTTTTGTTGTGGACTAAAACTCATTTTTCAGACCTCAATCTAAAAATCCCTAAAATGCAGATAGTACTGCCAAGATGCAGATGGTACTGCTAAAGTGCAGATGAAATTTATTTTCCTTAAAATGCAGATGAAATGCTGTTGTTTTAAAAAAGGTATAATGCAGAAAGAGGTATATACATTTGATCCGTGTTGCTTTATAGAAGAGCTGTATTGTTTTTGGGCGAGATAGGAACAGCCGTTGCTTCAGAAAAAGCAAAAAACTTTCCTTTCTTATTCTAAATATGTAATGAGACAAAATAATTACCCTTAAATTTAAGTCTATCATAAGAAGAGAAAAGAATCAAATGATCATCATAGCATCTTATCTGCACTTTATACGATAAAAATCATCTGCATTATACCTTTTTTAAAACAACAGCATTTCATCTGCATTTTAGGGAAAATAAATTTCATCTGCACTTTAGCAGTACCATCTGCATCTTGGCAGTACTATCTGCATTTTAGGGATTTTTTGATTGAGGTATTTTTCAGCGCATTTTCCTAGGAATAAAATGGAATTAAAGTTTGTAATTTGTCAGTACGGCTGGTCTCAAAACTTATATTAAAAGCCGTTATTTTTCAACAAAATTTGAATTTTGTTCAAAAATAATTTGAGTTATTTTTGAAATGTGTTTTCAGATCGTTATTATTCAAAAAGAAAATCATGAAATTTAAAAAATTTGTAGCCGTTAAATTTTATTATAACAATTAATTGTAGTAATCGACTAGGGAAATGCGTTCATAATGGTCACATCTGATCAAGTTCATAATACTTTTTTTTGTGTGTGATTTTGGGTGATGTATTCGAGGATTTAACAAATTAATTGTATTTTTTATTCTCCTATTTTCAGCCTGACCCTCGCATCGTACGAGAAAGTCTGATGGATCAAATCAAACGAGGTGCCAATCTAAAGCAGACACCACGATGAACTCGTAAAACAGCATAAACATAACACATAACATATAAAAATGATAATAAACTTCCAGTAACCTAATATTCAATTAATTCATAATAATGTATATGGAAAGTCCTTTTGCTTTAATTCGAGATCAATGGAATTAATGTATGTTGATTTAGATGTTCATCTTAATGATACACAAAAAAAATATTAATAATATTTAGTATAGGTGACATCGATAACAATTTAAAGTCCTTTTAGAATCGTCACGGAAAATAAGTTTTAGAAATTTGTGTTCAGACATTTTTAACCAGTCAGTCCAGCCCGAGAAAAATTTTCTTTTTGAAAAATTAACGTTAACCAAAAAAAAAAAAAGAAAGAAATTTAAGCATCACATAACTACGTATAAACCAGTTAATTCATTAATTAGTATATTGAAAGGAATAAAATAACAATTAATTTATGAATATTTATTGAACTCATTTTTATTATGAAACGAATCGTAAAATACCAAATTAGCAGAATTTTGTAAGCGCTCTGAAGTTTGTTAATTAATTTATTTATGTTTTAAGGCTTGTAAAGTTTCTTATTTCTTGTAAATTTTTAAGTAATTGGATAATTTGAGTATAATGTGCTGAGATTACTATCAATTTTCAACTTGTCAATCTCGAAATTTATGGTTTAAAAGAGCTATTAAATTCGCTCAAGTACTAATGCTTAGTATCTGGATTGAGTCTAGTAATTAATGATTGCTTATGTGGCACGAATTTCTAATAGTCAGGATCAAATTTTGGACTAATATGTGTGAAGTAACTGTAAAGACAATATCACAAATCACAGTTCTAGATGAATCCTACATTAAGCATTAAGTTCACTATTGTCAAGTCATATCTTAGCTGTTTTTCAAGGTGTATACACTCGTAATTTTTCTCAAAAATCCTAGCATTTTCTGCCATGATAATTCGATTTCCACTTGTTGATCCTATTCATCATCCATACAAGGGATTTCATGTTGGATTCAAATGATCATGTCAGAAAATGCTGCAATATTTTTGGAATTAATCCTGATTGTATAATGCCTAGATATTTTTGTATAAAAAGAGCCAAATTACTTTTGTGTATAATTATTTAATGCGAGCGCTTAAGATTCTTTAAAAAAATTTGTATATAAACAGACATAAAGTAATAATACCGATCGTAATGACTACGAGTCAAATAATTAATCTCTCTCTCTCCGTTCCATTCAATAACAATAAATTGATGCCCAAATATTACATAATTATTGCATATTTAAATTATAATTCATTCTAATCGATAGCTTTTAAGCAACAAATAATAATGGCTATGTTATGTTAGCAGAACAACAGCAATGCGACCGTAAAATGCAACATAAGTTATGCACTAAATTATTTTCCATATTATCGAGGCTATTGTCTTCAAGATGTATAACATAAATATATATTTTTGTATCAGCTAATAAGGAAGATTGGAAATGAATTTTAATCACAGACTTTGGCTTTTTCTTTTTCAATTTAGAGTCTAGATTTTTTTTTTTTACTCTGAACTTGCCGTGCTGCGTTTTATTATTACGAATATCATTTTGTTTATTTAGCATATTAATTGCATACTTGAACTTACTTTATAAAAGCATTTGACACCAATAAAAAACAGACATAAAAATCATTGACTGCATCACATACATCACATAATATAGGAAATATCACAAACAATTTAATGCACTCAGTTCTAAGAGTTTACGCTTCCTAGGAATGATTAATAATCAAGTCACACAAAAAAAAATGTATTGAGAACATATCAGAACTCCTTCGACTTTAATTGAAAAAAAAAAACTTTTAGAAGGAAGAAATTTATAATGACTGAGTAATTTTTTATCACTTAGACTTGCTTCATTAGTCAGTAAATTGCCTGAGATCAGATTAGTATGCTGTACAACATTCTTAGAATGTAATGATAAATATCAAAGTAATGCACAGTGCGATTTAGAATAATGGCAGTCACGAAGGTCTGAATGATTTCTTTTCCTACCTACATGCAACTTATCACACGTCCGTTACAAAAAAATATTTGAATTTATTCAAATTGAAGCCAACTTCAAGCTATTAAAAATTTGAAAGAAAATTTAACGGTTTCTTTTTTGGAGCAGAAACATTCATTCGAATGAGAAGCTATTGTCTACAGACACAACAGATTTTTCCTTCATTTCCTTTCAACAAGTGAAAAAGAACGTATCAATTGATTATTCTTAATTTGTTAACCAAAAAAGAACATTTTATATAAAAAATTTTATCTTGTATTGAGTTTATTTTATGACTGATTTAAAAGTAAAATAATGGATATCTTATAAACAAATTTGTGTAATTTATCAAGCATATATTTTCTCGAAAATAATTTAAAAAAACTGTAGCATAAAAATAATAATTTCGATTAATAAACATTTAATGAATTAAGTAAAAAAAAGCTTTTAAGCCTTTTCAATATCATTTGTGCTCTCTGTATCCTTATTTTCATCCACTGGATGTTCATTTTCAGCTTTTATATCATCATTAACTGTCTCTTGACCCTCATTATCTCCACTTTTATCATTCTCGATGACCAAATCAGCAAGTGCACCCAAATTCACGCTAGAGTTTGTCTCGTCCTCATCTCCTATGATAATTTCTTCTGGTTCCGGTGCTTTTGGCAGAAAATCATCATCTGGATACATTTTAGAATAAAGAAGTCTAGACTGACGTATTGACTCATCGTAATCTAACTCTGCAAAAGATCCACAACAATAGAAAATTGGTCCGTTTTGAGAGTCTACATAATTGTGTCCTTTTATGCTTGATGGAACTTCAAAGTATGCGGAATAAATTACTGTTGGTTTAGTATCATCATCGCTTGAGTAATCTTCTCTGAAGAAAGTGTTTACGAAATCTTTAAGGTCATTTTGTGCTCCTTTTTTGAATGGTGTAGATAAGTGGACGAGATCTAGAATATTTAATTGATCATGAATGATTCACATTTTGGACAAATAAACTGAAAGTAGATGATTTAAATCACATTGCAATTTAGATCTCACGATTAAATCTTCAATTTAAATCGTTGGATTAAAAATGTTAATCCTTCTTAAAATCGTGAGATTAAAATAACTTACAAAGTCCTTTAGATATGCATGATGTAAAATGAGAAAGTTGAATCATTGTAACCCCATCGGAACTGCCTTCAATTGGATGATAAAGCAGAACAACTCCACCACCGTCCAATTCACTGTTTACAGAAGATCCACCGACTGGTTTTGTAGTTATGAATACAGCCCTCGAGATATGACTAGTTGGATAGGCATTAATGTCTAAAAGATTGCTATCAAGTCCACAAACCAATTTTTTGGAAGTAATAAATTCATCACCAAATTTCATTTTAACGACTTTTTCGTCATTATCGGAATCAATAATATTAACATCGGATACATGCTGTCCAAGCCAATAAATTCCACCAAATACAGCACATAGTCGACAAAAGCATTGAGGTATTTCTCCACAGCCAAACATTGGAAATAAATATGGGGTATTTCCATATCGTCCTATACTTGTCAAATACATCCTTATTTTATCAAGTCCTTCCTTGAAAGTTGTCTCATCATTTCCCATGCACATTGAATAAAGAATGTAATGAATTAAATTATCAGTCAGCTTTTGTTGTCTCATTAAGTCTATAAATTTCCCGTCGTCAGGAAAGTCAAAAGTCTCTTCCTTCTTTTCATCATCTGCTTTATATTCTACACATTGTGTGATAAACTTCATTAAAAGTCGTTTCTCAACGATTGAGACATTCTTTTTTGTGAATATATCTGCTCGTGATCCAGGAACTATATCAAGCTGCCCATTGCGTGCTGTAAGGACTTTATCGACAGCTCTAAACTCTGTATATCTGCATATGTTTGATGAAATCAGTAAATCTACTAGTTTTCCATTACAGTAATTGAGCTAAAAGAAATGGAATCGTTATGTTAAGATATAAGAACCAGCACTGAAATATTTGCTTACTTTTGGAATTAAATCGATATTGAAACGTCTGCTGTCTTTAATGATTTTCTCTTTGTTCCATTCATTGATTTCAGGTATTTCGTCAGTAAATTCATACCATTGCTGATTCACGTTCCTTATTTTACACATCTTGTCAGTTTCTTCAGCTTTATTTACTTCTAAATGATTCATAAAATTTTCTAAATTATAAGATGACCAAAAACCTCCATAAAACTCATTTTGATCGATATGTAGGACACTTTTTCCAACTCTTGATGCTGCTGCAGCTATTACTGATTCTTGGAATCCTGTGCCAATTACACAAAGATCAAATTCTTTCGGCAAATCGTTCATTTTAATTAATTTCCTAATTTTACGATAAATTATTCTTTGTCCTGTTCAATGTTTACATTATTTATATGCACAGCACTTGACGTCCCCCTTCTTGATATTTTCTTTTGAGTATTTTCTCTCACACACGGCATATTTAGTTTTCTTTCAAATTTTCACGAGATCAGTAAGGAAAAGTAACATTTCCACAAAGATCCGCGTATAGGAACAGTGATTTAAGTTATTCCTGTGTATGATTAAATTTTTTCAAAGAAGTGTTTCGCTTATAAATCAGAAAAAAATGAAATTCATTGGCAAGTACACAAAAAACGACTTTTTCTTCTTAGTTCATACGCTGGATCTTATTTTTCTTGATGATATCAATGTGGAGCATCCAACTGGCTGTATTTTTTAAACCACATCATCGTCATCAACCTGAAAAACGTGAAAATTTTGTCTCAGAAAGAAAAATACATGAAGCGGTAGTCTAAATTTAGAAAATAGACATTTTACACAATTCTCACGGCGTTGAAACTTACCGCTTTATATCATATAGTGCTTTAAAGTGCATTTCGATATTCTTTCTATCACTTGTCGCTAATATCTGTCCTATGTCTGACTGTCTACCACTATTTTTATTGCATTCTGGATCTTATTGAGGATTTATTTCTTTTATTGATCACTTCCCTGCTAAAACCAAGCTAAAGCTTCGAGAATTGCTTGCGTAAACCTTACGTTATTCCAAGATACGTGGTAAAATTATGATTGCAACATATTTTTCAAATATTTTATGACCGTTAAATTTTGAAGTTTTACTTAATGGTGCGCTTTATATTAAGAAGCAATCAAATCTTTAGTAGCCGCATTCAGTCTAAATAAAACTTTTTTTTACCCCAGTGAATAAGGAATGTGGAAGATAAGCTTTGATGAAAACTATTGGTCTGTGAATGTTTTTGAGTCGTGGCATAAAGATCCATGAGATGTACACATTAATCATGTTTATGCAATAGTATAAACCTTAAAATGTTACAAATTATATTAAGAAAGTTTATTAATATACATGATCAGGCATGATTTTTTTTTTACACGAAAAAGTAAGAAAGAGCTTAAAGTAAATTTATAGAAGGGAGTACATTCCTTGCTTTCGTCAGTATCGTTAAAAACTATTTGTTTCTTCTTCCATGCTTTTCCATAAATTTACTCATTTTCAAGTTTAATGCTGGATCAGGTACGAGAGCTCGTCGACTTCTTGTGTTTCGACTTGGTGTTGATGACTTGCTGCTGCTTTGAAGAATATTTCGTCGTGTTTGTGAAGTAGGTGTTGTTTGTGATAATGATCGAGTCATTGACCGAGTTGGGGTACGACTAATTTGTGGCATCAGAATCGATAATGACGATTGGCTTTGAATCGATGAAGAAAATGACTCAATTGATTGTGATGAATCGATATTGGGTTTTGGAATATTAAGCATTATTGATAAATCCTCACTTAAATTTGATGCATTTTCGTCAAGATCACCGTAAATAGATTTTGACCAATCGTCAGACATAAATCCTAAATGATCATCATCTGTGCATACATTCGGATTTCTCAATTTATTCAAGATCTCTATATTCAAGTCTTCTTCATTATTAGACAATTCATCAGTGTTTGTAAATAGGTTCAACATGAGGCAGCTTAGCTTAAATTCACTATTCTTTTCCATTTCTGAGTGTTCCTTAGTTCCGATGATATTTAATTTAATATCATTATTCTTAGTAGAATTATTAGGTTCATTGAAGACATTTTGGACATTTTGTTCAGTCACTTGAGTACGTTGTGGCACTAGTTGTCGATAATTCTCTTCCGTCTTTAAAAATAAGTAATCAGATTCTCTTCTTGGCTCAGTCTTTTCAAATGTCTCGAGAAGATTTTCATCGCTAATATTCAAAATACATCCATCATAATTGAAATATTCTTCTTGTTCCTCGGTCAATAACTCATATTGATCAATATTCGTGGCTATCTCTGTCCAGAAGATGTTCTTTAATTCACTTGCCGTCAGTGAATTTTTATATTCCGGATATTCAATTAAAAAACTTTCCCATGCATGATTAAAACAACTTGTTGCTAGCTTGCACTTGTTAAAGAGATATTCTAGCATTTGATAATGTAAAACAACTTTATCTGCTTCCTCCATGCCTTAAAATCTTAAAATGTTAAAATCTTAATTGAAAACAAAAATTCTTTTAAAAAATTTTTTAATTTTTTTCTACAAAAAGCGCGCGAAAAATTTTGAATTTAAAAAATACGTTGATATTTTGCATCACTAATGTGCTGCAGGTTTAATGGATCTCGAATTTCTCGTCAGTTTTCTAGTCACAGTTTCTGGCTTTTAGACTGAATTTACAGCACATTCTTCTATTTGCTTATTTTGAAATTTTCCTACAAATTCTTCAGCATAAATCTTTAAAATCCCTGAATTACTTGTGATCATTAACGAGTAGTACAGAAAATATATAGCTATGCTGAGTATAATGAACCCAAGAAGACTATCACCACCCATTTCTTGATACAAATTCAGCTTATTATCCATTAATAAATATTTCATTATAAATTCAATTAAAATTTGCAAGCGCATCCACATTAAATTTACGGATATCTCCAAACTTATCAGCACCAAAATTATCTCAATCATGACATAAATAATTTGTGAAATTTTCTTATGATGCTCCGGAAGAATGTTAATATTTTTTATATGAATGCTAGTTGAGAAAAGCATAAGTAAGCTTGAAAATCCACTCAAAGTTCCAAACTTGTAGTCAGTGTCGAAAAAATATTGACGAAATACCAAATTCACGATTAATGCGAAAACGATTGAGACTGAATGAACCATTTCTGTTACTTTTTGGTAAACTTCTGATAGCACACAAGCGGTGATATGCTATATTTAAAAAAATTTGATTGATTTTAACAGTTTAACGGTTTTTAAAAACTTAAAAAATCTGAACTGAACAAAAATTAAGTGTTGAATAACTGAACGTTTTTTACTATCGTTTAAATTGAAAAAGTTCGTTATATTGATTTTTTCTAATGTTTTAAAACTTGAATGCTTGATAATAGATTATAAATTAAAATCCAATAAGAATATTACTCACAATTGCTGAAAATCCGATAAAGAGAAACAATTTGTGAATTTCCACGTCACTCCAAAGATTCCGGCACTTAATAAATTTTGTAAAATTGGATGAAAGGTCGGTGACTTTAGAAGAACAATAAATTTTGTGAAATGAATCCAACGATCGAAAATTTTGAGAAAGAATAAAAAATTTTCACAAAAGCTTGTCTGGAATAAAAAAAAATGAATAAGTAGTGATTGATATTGAATTATTATGAATGAATGTGCATGCTTACCAAATATCCATTAACAACCATGAAGAACAATAAATATTGCAGTGGGAGGTAGATCATACGAAGCACAAGATCACAAATAAAAGTATTAAGGAGGGTCTGTGGATGAGAAGTTTATAGTTGAAGACATATATTTATGATAAATAAGAACTTACAAGTCCAATCATATGTATAGTCTTCTCACTAATGTCACCGATTCTTGCCTTCCTGACTGTTTGAAATATCATTGACACTGACATAAAGAATAGAATTGAGTCAAAACTGCTCTCAATTTGATATGAAATCCTTCCATTAATTAACATTTCGATGAGTGACATATTGAAGAAATGCATGACAACTGGAAATGCCACTTCTAGGATCTTCAAAACTTTTGGAACTGAACTCATTTTCGGACGAATTTTATGAAACAAAAAAATAATGATAAGTTTAATTAAACAAGAAATCAATGATAAAGCGATCAGCATGTGGCATGAAAATGTAAACGATCCGAAAATTTTCCTCTAAACAATACTTTTAATCATTGTTATGACATGTTCTATTTACATCTTGTTTTGCTTTTTTTCTTGAATGGTCGAGAAGGAAACAAGAAGTGAAAAACGAAATTAGCACGATACATGTGAGTGGGGGCTTCTCGCCAATTTTTCACGATAATAATCCATTAGTGACAGTTTAGCACAATTCAAAAGCATCATCTGTATCATTTTTGGATGTACTTTAGTCAACTGTTGTCGTCATGCTGAATCAATATTCAAAATTAATTAATTCCAAGTGTTCACTTTTTAAAACTAGTGTATCGGGTAGAAACCAAATGCGGATTATATTCACACCGTACCATCAAAAGTCTTATGGATAGACCAAAATTTGCCTAGCATAAGTATGAAGGTATGAAGCTTGATAAGTGAACTGAGCTTCGCTCAGCATATGTTTAAAGGTATTTTCTGAAACAACGGCTGTTCCTCCCTTGCCCGAAAACAATACAGCTCTTCTATAGAGCAGCACGAATCAAATGTAAAAAACTAGAAGTCTCTACAATGTCTCGTTATTGAGATTTCTTGCTGATTACCTTGCTTGCTTGCTTGTTTGCTTACAGAAAGCGTATTTTGCGATTTTCTCAGCAATGCCACAACCAATTTGAAATCCGTTTTTTGAAAATTATGTAAAATTTCAGGCACAAACTTTTCTTCTTGGACCTTTTATAACCAATTTTGCTTCGTTTTCTCATAAAATGCGAAAAAACTGATTTTTCAATCAGAACAAAACCAATAGATCCACACGTGAAAACGGTGTGAAAATAAAAACGCATCAATAAGGTTCATATAAAATTAAAAGCGCACAAAATCCACACATATCAATAAACTCTTGCTGATCATTTCTCAACTTTAGTCTTATTTATAGACTGACTGACTTACAAAGCATTCACATTTACTTTTCTCACCTAATATAATTTGTTATTTAATACATGCAGATATCGGAGCCAATTTGACTGATGAAGTCTTTGACGGAAGATATAATGGGACGAGGAAGCATGACTCAGATAGACAACAAGTTTTAGATAAGGCATGGAATATTGGAGTTGAAAAAATCATCTTGACTGTTGGATCGATTCTGGAATGTGCACCAGCATTTAAAATTGTTGATAATGACGATCGATTGTTCTGTACTGTTGGATGTCATCCAACAAGATGTGGTGAATTCCTGCTTGATTTGGAATATTTTAACAAGCTAGATCAACACATTGAAGAGAATAAAAGCAAGGTTGTTGCTATTGGAGAAATTGGCTTGGATTATGACAGGCTCCATTTCTGCGAACCAGATATTCAAAAGAAGTAAATATGACATCTTAATTGTGCCTGAATAATAATTAAAAACATTATATTTGTAGATATTTTGAGAAGCAATTAGAACTCGCTGATAAATATGATCTGCCATTATTTCTTCATTGCCGTAACGCACACGATGATTTCATCAGCATAATTGAGAGAAATAAAAGTAAGATTAGACGTGGCGGTGTTGTTCATACTTATGATGGAAGCTTAGAGCATGCAAAGATTTTAATCTCAATGGGATTTTATATTGGACTCAATGGCTGCTCATTAAAATCTGAAGCGAATTTGGAAGTTGTTAAGGAATTGCCAAATGACAAAATTATGTTGGAGACTGATAGTCCTTGGTGTGAAATAAGACAATCCCATGCTTCAAGTAAATTTATCAAGACTAAGTTTGAAACTGTCAAAAAACAAAATAAGCAAAAATGGCAAAAGGATGTCTTGGTTGTTGGAAGGAATGAGCCATGTACAATTGTTCAAGTACTTGAAGTTATTGCTGGCGTTAAAGGTGAAGACGCTGAGAAGCTTAGCGAGATTTTCTATAATAATACAATGAAAGTATTCTTCTCTGATTAATAAATAAATTAATTAACTGTCAATTTTCTGTTATTCTTCTTTATCTTGTTTATTTTTAAGGAACCGATAATAACAATCTTTTAGATTTTTTTCATTTCTGTATCTTCTTTTTACCTAACAATTTTTCATAATAAAAAGCTTCTTATTATTACGAAAAAGGAGAGAAACTGATTTGCGTTAATTCTGATTTGGAAGTTTTATCATAATTCCAAAATCAATGTTCTTAAAAATATCACTGACTTAATTTATTTTTAGATTCGTACCAAGATTGCAAGCAGCTGTCCAGCTATGACGGTTAAATTTTCAAAAATCTCCAATACCACCACAAAAATTTACATAGATACAGAGCGATGGAAACATTTGATGGCATTAGTAATTTCTTTGCCGCTGGATCTTTAGAACTGCTTGAATTCAGTGCCATCGGGAGGCTTTACTTCAACTTTGTCCTTTCTGACTTCATCCCAATTAGTGCTCAAAACAGTTCCACCGGATTCTTGGAAGGACTTGTTCATTGCACGGCGTTGTTCTTCGGTTCCACTTTCATAGATTTTTTTGAATAAGGCATTGACTGCTGCATCTCCCTGAAATGATAAAGTCATGTTGTAATTAACTGTATCTTTCAATATTTGATTATATTACCTCAGTGTCGTCAGTCTTTTCAACTTCTTTGGCTAGTTTATCCCAATCTTGTGGCTTTTTACTCTTTACAGCAATTTGTTGCTGCTCGCTAATCACTTCCTTTTTCTTTTCCAACATTCCCCATTTTCCGAAATCACGTTTAGCTAATGTAATTTCAACTTTATGAAGTGTTGCTTTATGCGAGGACTTTTCGGGAACAACAGGATTTAGTAAATTGAGGATTAATTCATAGTTTTCAGCTGACAAATGAACTTTTTCGTCCTCAATTTCACATTTATAGTCTTTTTCGACTGCATTCTTCAATAATACAGTCACCACGACTTTTTCATCGTTTTGATACCAATCGTGCTTCACAGACATCACTAGAACTTAATTAAATTAAGTTTATATTGTGTTTTCTAATGACAAAAGTTATAAATTTATTTCGAGAATTTTCGCAATGTTTTTCTCTACAAACAATTTGTTGTCTTTGGATTTAAATTTAAAGTAACCGTTAATATATTTAAATCTTAAATGACTGCAAAAAAAATATGTTTGTACAAAAATAAAATATCTTATAAGTATGCTTGCCATCCACGAAATAATTTGCTTAAATAGCTTGGATTTGTAGCAGCTTGAATTAAATATTGGACTTGTCCTTCAATAGACGGATATCGTACGGAGGTATTTTCAGCCATTCCTTTCAATTTCATTTTGACACAATTTAATGCACGAGATGCCATCAAATCATGCTCAACTTTTTCACCCGAAAGATCATCATCACTTTCACATTCCAACTGAGATCGTCGTGCCTGATCTACGCCAAATGTCCACATATACATTGGATCATAAAGTAGCACTTCCAAAATTGTCGTTAGTGCTTTATCATTTTTACGTAGAATTTCAATTGTATTTTCGCATGCCTTTCTAAAGATTCCATCAACTCCACTGACTCCAAATGGTGCAATTATGTCTCTCGTTAGACGGAATGGAATCAATTCAGGATGTGGTAAAATTTTACCTTGTTCAAATGCCACTCCAAAGTCAATATGAATTAATTCTGCTGTTTTTAAGTCAATTAAAATGTTTTGAACATGACGATCTCCAATGCCCAAAATATATCCAATCATAGAACTAACAGCAACACTTATTGTGTACGCAAATCTCCTTTCAAAATGTTGTCCTGGATTTTTGAATTTTTCATAAAAGAAGTTGTGAAATACAGGCTTAATACGACACAAAATTTCATTAAACTTTTCCAATTTATCATCACTGTCTAAATTTGCAGGAATCTCTGATATTTTACGCATGCATAAAGCAGGACTCCAATCATTTGGTCGATAAATTTCATGAGCACCTTTATTAATGATTCGTCCATCACTCCCACGTTCTCCAGCTAAGTAACATCCAATTGGAGTCGTATTTGCACACCATTCTAAAATGCCAGAACGTCGAGAAAATGGAACAACTTTATATGTTCTAATTCTAGCATTATTCTTTTGCATGTTCTTATCGAGTAGTAGTAATTTGTTTACAACTCCAAATATTTGTTCCATAATTGCATCTTGACGCATATCATCCTTTCCTTTCAATAATTGAGGTCTTCTTATTCCATCAGAACACAAAACTTCAATTCTTTTTGGTGCATTAATTCCACCAACTGACTTTACATTTGGATCCCATTTTTGGACTGTTATTAAGCTTTTCTGATAATTACAACTTCTCATAACTGTTAAATCAATTGTTGGACAGTGTGCATATTTTAAATTTGTCAATTTCAATACTTTGTGATCCGATGGAATAGATGATGTCTTTAATGGCATATTAGCCAAGTTAATTAGTGCTGCTGACATTTTCTCCATTTCAATCATTATTGGCTTTATTGATTTATGATCTTTTTTTAAGGTCTCCCACAAATCTTTGGCTCCAAGAACACGCGCCTCTTCATTCTCATTATCATTATCTGAATCAGCATATGAATTAACCAAAGCTAGTATTAATGGCAGTGTATGATGTGGATGATCAAGTGCACAACGAGTTAAAAGTGCTCTCAATAACTTATTTAAAGGATCAGATTTGCTGTCATTCAATCGGACTGTAAGTTGAGGCAAAGCTATAACAAATTTGTAGCTTGGAATTTTCAACAAATTCTTTTCCAAAAAGACTCTAATAAATGAACTTTTTGAAAAATTCGCGAGCATCAACGATACAATTCGAAATATGTTAAGGATGTTATCATCAGGACTGTAAATTGTACTTCGAACGTAGTAACTGTGAATTAAAAGAAAAATAATAGTTTGATGAATAACGGTAAAAAAAGCTGTGTGAAGGAATAGAAATAGAACTTACTAGATTGCATTTTTTGCAGCGAGCTTTTTTTCTTTCTCAGCATTTTCAATTTCAATTCGGTCCAAATCAGTACTTTTTGATAAGATTGCGTAGGATTTCTTAAAATCAGCATCAGCATCTTTAGTAAAACTCATTTTCATTAGCTTTAATCTTTCAACATTCTTCGCATAAGTGTTCTTCTTTTGAATGAAATCTGGAGATGTAATGTACGATAACTTGAATTCATATTCTCGATCGTTATATCTAGCAACTGTATCATAAATACAGGAAGCATCATAAATTTTCGATTCAATTAAGCGACTCTTTTCGTCATCAATTTTTTCCGTAAGTAAACTCTGTGAAAATGTATTAAATGCTGCATCATCATCAAGCTTTGCAACAAGATACTGCTTCCCATGGAATCGAGCATAATTATCGAGATAGGTCATTGAAACATCAAAATAATTTGTAGATATAACTAATAAGTCATCTGAGAAGTTTTCAGCTAGAATTTCACCATACAATCGATGGGCAATTGACAACAATATTGCATCATCATCCTTAATTTTTATGTTGATGATTTCGGACAAGCAACTCTTAGCCATTTCTTCATTTTTGTTCATATTCAGCTTTGCTTCCTCTAGTAAAACTTCTAATTTCTTTGGAAGTGATGAAATTGACTCTTTTAGTTCCGTTATCAATGGAATAGCATCATTATGTTGACCAGCTAAAACTGCATTTTTGACCAAAAATAGTGAATTATATTGAACTGCATCAGGAACCCAAGTACGCTTTCCTGCTCTAATATTAGCTGTACTAAGGATGCTGTTTCTTTGAAGAAAGACTTTATTACAATGCTCATAATCAAATGGAAGTCCTTCATGAATTTTCCACTTCTTTAGCATCAACTCGTTTGTAGATCTTTTAAACAATACCTGTGAGAATTAAAATTAACGGATTTCAAAATTTTGAAAAATAACGGGTTTTAAAATTTTGAAATTTTTAACGAAACATTTTTGTACTGAACTGAAATGAACAATACTTTTGCTTTGTAAGCGAACTCGACTCACCTCGGAAAAATCCTCAATTTGAGCCAAACGATGTGACATTTCAAGGAACTTGTACAAACTATTGGAACATTCTAGAATATGATGATTAACTAGCTGCGTAATCATTTTACGGCTTTTATAGACGGCATTTCTTATTCCAACTTCATCATTATTACTAGAATATTGCAAACCATGATAATGATATTTTTCAAATTCTTCCTTATAATCAATCATTCCTTTATCATCTTTAATTACACAATCTGTTTCCACGATTGTATTCCATTTTGAAAGTTTCCATAGACATTCATACTGCTGTGACTTATTAGAATTGTTCATATTCTCGTTGAATTTATTTGAAACGTGATGCAAATTGACATCATTTAAAAGTTTCATGTAGTCCTCGCATGGTGCATTCTTTGATATTTCAAGAAGACTTTGTAAATGCAAGTCATTATTTTTCAAATATTCTGATCGATTTGTTAAAGGATTTAAGAAGAGTCCTGTAGCTTCTTGAACTCCAATTGCCGAATAAGAACGATACATGATGTCTTCAAGCGTTTTGTCCTTAATTGATACAGAAAACGGAACATTAAATTTTTCCAACGTCTTTCTTGCCCACATCTCACAATATTGAATAGCTGTGAATGAAGCCTCACAATGTTTTGCAGCCTTAGCAATATGCAGGAAATTCAAGTCTTGTTTTATCGCCATTTTTGATGATGGATTATCTTGACTATAAATTCGAATTTTCTCAGCTAATTTCAGCATTTGACGAATTATTTTCTTATTGATGAATACTGAGCCTTCATTTGTTAGCTCAGAATAGTTTAACTTTTCAAAACACTGCTCGAAATAATAGCTTAATGTCTTAAGAATCTCGCTATTTGCTGTTTCATTGTTGTACAATAATATTAAGTGAAAAATGAGTGGGAAAAGTGTCTCAGCAAATTCCAACTGCATCTGAATTAAATTAATTAGCATTCGATCACCAGCATACAGATTCATATTGACACAAAATCCTTTCATGAAGCGAGAATATTCCAGAGTATTGTTTTCAACCACAAAACTATGTAGATCCAATACTTTATCACTTTTTGGTTCTAAATAGAACAAATTTTCATTACTACGATTTTTTGTAAGGAAAGGACTAAAATTTGGACTTGGTACGAAATCGATGGATGATGCAGATCCAAAAAGATAGTAACAAGCTTCACTTGCAACTTGAAAAATGTTGACATTATGATGAATCAATAAAAGTTCCAATTTTTCTAGCACACGATTACAGATTAATCTTTGGCAATTGAGGACATTTGAAAATGTCACATAAGTCGTCTCATTATCCTTATCCTCAACATCGAAAATAATTGTTGATATGTTATGACATCCAATTTGTCCAAGACACTTAACAGCTTCAACTGCTCGTTCTTCATCATTTTCCCGGATGTAGCCAACTAATGATCTTATTAATCGATGCAATGTGCTGTTAGCTTTATCACCTGTGATGAATAAAAGAAATGAAAAATTAACGGATTCCAAAAATTTAAAATGTAACGGATTTTAAAAATTTGAATTTTTAACTAATCGAAATATGAACTGAACAGAAATGAAGTTATACTGAACAGAATTGTCGTTCATTAAGCCAACTCACCTGTCATTGTTTTTAATTCCTCAAAAAGATACTTTAATTCAGACGTTTTCGATGCAAGGTGCTCATATAATGCTGTTAATCCTTCAATACGACGGTTTTTAATTTCCAAAAAATGCTCAATTTCTTCTATTAATGCAAAATCTTCATCTCCATACTTAATGCTCAATTGTTTTGTTCTCAATTCACTAAAATCATTGCTTAATGGAAATCGATCAAGTGTAGCTATTTCCTCGTTTAATGATGGCTGATTTAGAACCAAAAAGTTCATTATTTCAAAGCATTTTGATTTCAAATTTTGTGGATCATTTTTGACACTTAAATTTTTACAAACTGAAACCAGTTGAGGAATGATTCTTTGTAGCTGTGACTTGAAATAATTACTACAAACTGGAATAATCTCCTTTAAATAATTTAACAAAAAGGCTGCAGCCATAATTCTTAATTTTTCTCCAAATGTCGTGCTGATAATAAGGAAGCAATAAAAGTTGGCAATTTCACGTGACAAATATTCCTTAATGCAATTCTCATATGTGACATTTTGATCCTTCATATATTCCAAAGATTCTATTGCAAGAATGTTGTAATGTAGAAGAGAAAGTAATTTTTGTTCCTTAGATTCAGTTCCTTGTATATTCTTTTTTTGTAGCAAAAACAACTGTTCCACATAACTTAATGAGTTCTTGCATAAATACGTCACTAAATTTTGATCTGTTTTAATGTTGCATGTATTCTCGATATACTTAATGCATTTCTGAAAGTCATTAAACTTGATTGACTCAAAAGTTGCACAAAAATCCATTTGAAATCCAGTCATTTCTAGGAACTTTTGATTATCGATTACATTCTCAAGGATATGAATTATGACTTTTGGCAGGTTTTCAAGTAGCAACAATTTCTGTTCATCTTCATTAAATGCTGTGATTAGCTTATTAGACATTTCATTGATATTAACTTCATATTTTATGACACATTTTGCTCTGAATGGAATCATAAACGCCAAGCATCTACTCATTATTGGCAATGCTGCTTGATTTAGTAGCAATTCAACAGATTCTAAAAAGTCATCAACGACTTCACATTTGGTTTTCAAGGCAGAAAGTAAAATTAAGTTGTAATGATCGTTAATAAAATCCTGATAAGTTTGACATCCTATTAAATGCCATGGAAATTTGCTCATTTCAATTGACATCTCCACCCATTTAGATATTAAATCAACGATATCGTTTGTATTGATGACACTCTTAGAACAGCTGCATTTTAATTGCTTCAAAACTTTTTGGAATATAATTAATCCCTCGTTTTCTGTCAGACTAAAATTTATGAATATTTTTGCCAATTCGAATAGATTTGATCGTCTGAAGTTGAAATTAACAAAGAATAAAGCTGTAAATAGTTGTATGTACGTTGATAAGTTATTAACATCCACATCATTATGATTCTCGTAATTGTCTTTATACACAAATCCATAATTTGAAAGGAAATCCTTGAATAAACTCTTTCTGCATGTATTCATTACTTTTTGCTCATTAATTGGATTGATATCTTCATGATTAGAGAATAAAATTGTACTAAAGCATTCGATTGCTGCCATTTTGACTTCAAAGCTGTCCGAGCAAAGGCACTCCTTGTAAATTTTCTCGTACATCTGCTTAACAACAGGTTGATCATAGCACATTATAAAATATGATTCATGAAAATGCTTAAATTGACGTAAAAACTTGGAAACAATTTTTGAGCCGTAGCATCTGTTTGAATTGACATCATAAGAGCACAATTTTGAGAAGGATGTGTAAACTGTTACATAGTACTTTGATAAATCGAAATACTGATGAGTAAATTGTTTTAATTCTGCTAACTTATTTATAATGCAATTCATGATGTAAAGATTGCTTCGGTGCATTTTACAGATATAAACAATTCCAGCACCCCATATCCAAATTGCTGCCTCTTCCGGGATATTCTTTTGGCGACCAAAAATATCAACAACTTTAAAGATCGTATGCATGTCAATATTATTGTCAATGCTGAATTCAATTTTATCAATCCACTGAACGACTGTGTCTGTGTTGATTCCTTCATAATTAAAATATTCGCATAAAGTTGTAATCATTACATATCTAATTTTTTGATCAAACTTTGCATTTATAAATGCTTTGAGATTCAATTTCAAGTTCGGATATTCTTCAGTATCATAAAATTCACGATCAACTTGATTAAATATCCATTTTAAGCAGTTTTTGAGATCATAATTACGAATAAGCTTTCCAACTGCCGAATGATAATGACTTGACAGCATCGCGTTTATCTGTAACGCTAGTTTATTCGTATCAGTTGTGTCAAATTCAATGTTTCTCGTTGATATTATGGAAAAAATTCGTTCAATTTCCTTTAAAATTAGGGATTAATAAGTAAAACAGTTAAAAAAATTTTTTTCAAAGCTTAATAATACGCTTTGTTCGGCTGCTCGGGTGAAGAAAAACTTTTTAACCAGACATCGTAGAGAGCTCGCGTTTGTTTTATTATCTCCGTTACTATCGATTTATTGGCCCATCGAATGCTTAAAAGTCTTAAGATCATGTAATTATACTATAATTAATATATATGTAGTGCAACTTTTAGCGAAAAATTTCAATTTTTTTCTAGTCGTTGTAAAATTTGAATTCCAAAAAAACATTTAATAATAAACCCTTACTGTATGTAAATTCATTGCAATGAATTGTTAATTTTACTTCAATTATTGATTTTTTAGTGCATTAAAACGTGGGAAATTATCAAATATATTTTAACCGCTAGACAATTCGAATTCCAAAAGACTGTTAAATAATAAAGCTTTTCTATAAAAACATTCATTGTAATTATTTGTTAATTACACTAAAATTAATGAGCTTCTAATCTTCTCATGACATGTAATTGAACGCAAAATAATAAGATAATCAAATACTGATCGCTGCGTCAAAAATGCGCTTAAGTCCCTCGATCAATAATACGAAGACTTTTGTAATTTTTTTAGAAAGAAGTCTTTAAAATCATTGTATTTTTAACATACCTGCATATAAAGCAAAATTCTTTTGGTGATGAACAAATTTTCCATTTTCTTTTGATTTGTTGCTTCCATTTTTAAGAGTTCTGATAAAAGATTCATCATGAGCTCGTTGCTTGACATGACATCTCTAAGATAATCTTTGATTTCGATGACTGTACTATTTTCAGTTATTATTTTCTCTCCTAATTCTGTAAGTTTCATTAATTCACAGAAAATTTCCTCGTCAACCATGCATTTTAGTTCTGTTGGAACTTCAAGATTATTTTCAGCTGTCAATTTTTCCGTATGTTTTAAGAAATTTTCATTTTCAATAATTAATTTTCCACGCATTTTGAGCTGCATAAGATTTATTATAGACTCAACTTCTGTCTTATAATTCTTCTGTTCGACCATATCAATAATCTTTCCATAAAAATCAGATGCATCAATTTTCATATTTTTATAGTAATTCATCACGTCTGTTTTAAGAAGACTGCACAAAATGGCTAAATGAGCAAGTACTGGATACGAAGGTTTATCATTTCCAGCTATAACCTTCTTCAGTACAGCAAGTGTGATTTTTTCAAAGGCAAAACGAAGAATTTCTTTTGCATATTCCTTTCCATTTTGAAGTGAATCAAGATTAAAGCTTTTAAGGAGCACAATTAATGTGTCAAGTGTTGTATCGCATTTAATTGTTGAGTTTGATGTGAAGATCTTAATGACAGATTCAATAAATGCAGGAGATGAATATTTATGATGATAAATTAATAATTGAAGTAATTTATGAGATTCAATCAGGTTCTTATTTGAATTTGAACAGCATCTAGCAGCTTCATCTGATATTTTGGACCATAAAGTCTGACATCGGCTATATACAAGTTTGTTTGCTGTATTTTTAAAGCCTTCTTCATGCTGCAGTAAAATTGAACAGCATTTTGTGAATGAATAAATTTGTTCCTTAAAATCAATCATTGGTTGGCATTCAGATAATAAAATGATTATTTCTGCAATGTCATCATTTTGTAATGTTTGTGGATAATTTTCTATTAATTCACACAAAACAGCAAGCCATTTCCAATTATAAATTCCAGGACGTTCAACAGATGGTTTAATTCTTTCAATTATAGTTTGTAGCTTGTTAGTAAGTTTCATCCGTTTTGGAACGTGTTCACCACTATCTTCTGTTTCGTGATCTTTAAAGATTTCATCATTCCAATAAGCATAAAAGCAAAATCTTGCAGCAAATTCGCAAGTTATACTGCTTACTTTTGGAGGTATTTTTTCACGATAAGCCATTCCCATTGGCTTTAAATCTTCCAAAAGCAAATATTCGTACTGTTTAATTGTGTTGAACCAATTCTTTTTGTCATGAATATATTCCATTTGATCTTTATCATTTCCTAACATTGGAATATGTGCAATTAAAGCTAAATCCATCAGTTTGAAGAGAAATGGTCTATATCGATCATGTTTGTCGCTTAGAAATGCTGAATTTATATGAAATGTGAATTCTTCAAGAAATCTACAAATCTCAAATCGAAAATCAACGATATTGTCACGACAACAATAGTATAAGAGCACAATTAATTCTTGTCGTTCTTTTACATAATTTGTTCCTGAATTTCGACTGGCAATAATGTTTTTCAACTGTTCAAACACATTCAAATTAATCATTTCCAATGCCAAGTATGAATTTTCACATCCAGCAATCGTTACTTTTTGTGCACATTCAACCAGAAGCAGGAACGTAAACTTTGGACTGTTTGCCTTCATTATTTTAATCAGCATTTTAAGAATAACTAGAAACGATTAAAATAAGTAGGTGATAAGCAAAAATTAAACGCTTTTAAATCGTATTTACATTACCTTTCCAATCTTCACACTGAATGGCTGTAAAATCTGTGCTTGATTCAAAAACTCTATTGAGCAAACTGAGGTAAGTATTGCCAAAATGTCTCAACAACAGTCCATTTCTCAACACCTCAATAACTGCCTGAATCAATTGCGTGTTCTGAATGATGGATTGTGGTGGACCTAATAACAATAATAATTAATAAGTTAAGTAAACTAAGCATAAGAGTATGTCTTACATAAAGGATCATTCGAGGCTTCCTGCAGATCAGACATAGCTGTCGAATAAATTCTAATACGATTATCTCCTTCATGAATGTCAAAATCTCCTAGTGTCAAAGCCTGAATCTTTATTCCTGAATAAAAAAGTGTTGTTATTGTCTAAATTGCGCGTAAAATATGATTAAATAAATACCTTCATGGGCACTATAAAAAAAGGCATCGTAAGACAGTTCAGCATCTCTCTCACTATCTTCAAATACACGATTAACTATGTGCCTTTGATTTGTTACTAATAGACTTAAATTAGCAAATGCTTTTTGCCGATTTAGTTTTTTATCTGTTCGCAAATCTCTCTTTAAATCTTCAATTTCATTGGTGTTTGACATTTTGACAATTTTCCATGAAAATACGTCTTAATTTTATAAACGATTAATAGTATAACATCAATACAGGTCCAATTACTTATTTAAACGACTAATTACTTATTTAATCTTTAATTAAACTAGTTTTTTGATTATTTTTTCACAAGAACAAGTTTCACAACAACGAACAATTATTGTCTACTAATTTCTACAAAAATTCAAATTTTATTTTAACTGTCACATAAACGTGAAAATTTTTTTCGTGGAAAAGGTAAATTCAATATTAATATAAGAAAAATAAAAGAAATACCAAGAATTAAGGATAACAGCAGTCATGACATTAAAGAAGTCAAAAAGTAGTTCAAAGAAAGCTTCGAAAATTGCCGAGTATAAGAATATTCAAGATGATATTTTCGATTATGCTGGAAGATATCATTTTCATCAAACAATAACTGATATGCTATATGCTGTTTATAAGGAAAAGTCTGAAGATCCATATACATTTATGATCAACTTTCTGATTGAGACGAAAGGATGTAAATTTAAGAATAATGATAATCAAAAGATGTTAAAAGAGATCCAGGAAAAGGATGTCGAAATCAAAAGACTTAATGATCGTATAGCATATCTGGAAGGCTTAAATAATCATCAAAATACACAAGGATCGCAATTAATTGGAACTCAAACATTCTTAAACAATGTTTCGCTTGCCACAACATTGACAGGCCTTACAGATATATCAGTTTCTGATTTGGAGAAATTTGCTGAAGATCCAAGCTTTTTACAAGGGTTTGAATCTCATTTAAAGCTTCCACCACAAATGGCAATAACATCAGAAGAAAATCCAATGATATCAAATAGTGACATTTCGGTTCCTGTTCCAACAAATGAAAATCCAGCAGAACGACAAAAAACAAATGATTTGATACTTTCCTTCAACTATAGCAGATTAACAAAATCGGAACCGCCTGAAAACTCAAAGATGAGCTTAGAAACAATTTCATCAAATGATACAGATGAAATAGCCATGGAAGTAAGTGATTCTGAACTTTTTGAAAAACCCGTTATAGTTAAAGCTCCTGAAAGAAATGTAAAGTCTATTAATAATTTTGATGATTTCGAGCCTGATTATGAACCCGATGATGATGAATAGATTTAAGCATATCATGTAATAGTATTAACTTTCATAGTCAAATAAACATCTTTTATTTGGATTCTTTTGTGTGTTTTTGATGACTATTTTAAATGACTTGTATGACATTGAATGAGATTTTACAGCATTAATTTGCACATAATCACCATTATGATCATTAAGAGAGAGCTTTTTTTTTTTTGTTAAAAAGAAGAAAGAAAATCAATTTGAACTTCTAATGATCCAGCCATTGATAATCTTTACGAATCAATCTCATTAACAATTTAATTATTTTTTTTTACATTTTGACAACAATTTTGGGTAATAAATAGACTGAGATGGACTCGAAAGTTTATCACCATTAGAAATTCCAGTATGTAAAAATATTACAGATAAAGTTGCATTATTTTGTAATAACATATTCGCCATATCCCTGTTGCTTAGAATCGTCACCGAATAAGCTATTAAGTTGTTCATAATTATCGTATTTATTATTATTTATCATAGGGTAGTTATCAATAGGGAGTTTGTCATCATTATCAGGGTTTTCGAGCAGTCGATTTTCCTTTTCTTGAAACACGCAATTATTATTTTCACAATATATCCTTGAAGTTGATGCAACAGCTTTTGGTAATACTGCACTTCGCTTCTTTCCAAACCTCATTGGATTAATTCGTCCGAAACGTAAAACATTTCCTTCAATTGCCTTCTTTTCTCTATCATTTGATTTGTCTATGCTGTATGGTGAATCATAATTCTCGTCACTTAATGCTTCCGATGATGATCGTCCAAGTCGCAAAATCTTCTTACCATGCTCATCGTACTTATTATCAGGACTTCTTCGAATTGGTGGTGCAATATAGTCATAAGCCTCACTTACATCATTATCATATTGTAATGTGTCTGGATTTGGGCGCCCAAAGCTTCCAAAATTGCCTCGTCCAAAGCGCATAAAACCTTTATCAATTGCTCGTCTTGGCTCAATTTTTATCATGTTGCCATTTTTACGCATTCTCATTGAAAATGGCTCATTAACTTCGTTGTCATTATGCTCTAAATCATCATTTACATCATTATCATATTGTAATGTGTTGTCTGGCTTCGAACGCCCAAAACGAATCATATTTCTAGAGCGTCCGAAGCGCATAAATCCCTTATCAATTGCACTTCTCCGTCGTGCTTCAATTTCTGTATTGTCACTTTTAATACTTCGACGAAATTGAATCACAACACCAGTCTTTCCTAAATCATCGTCTTCTGTGACGTATGCTAAACTAGGCGATCCATGAGATAACGGTTTCCATTCATCGCTTCTATTACTACTTGCTTCAACTAGAGAGTCGGTAGGTGCAGATAACGAGAAACTACTGCATTTGAACATAATTGCAACCGTAAAAAGTATCAATTTCATTATGAGTGTCTTGTTAATTCCTGAAAAAAGGACATGAGATAAAGAAACAGAATTAAATATGTGCGGAGATAAGCATAAATCAATTTTCGCAAGTTTGTGTCGCTTGTCAGAACTGATATAAATTAAGAAGTTTATTATTATTCGTGCTTTGTTTGCAGCAAACATACAGAATAGATAATCTCTGATGTCTACACAAAATAGAAACTATTAATGAGCTTAGAAGTTCCAATTATTAATAATGGCACACACAATAGCATTAACTTTCCATAATCCAAACGTGATTTCAATGCACCTACTTTACAAAGTCGTTCCTTCTAATTTAAGTAAGGAATCCCATTCACGTATATTTTAATTTCAACTATCTACGTCAGCTTAGTTCCACTACTCATCTACTATTTCACAATAAGGATTTTTTTTTGGAAATTTCGTAAAAGTAAAAAAGCGAAGTAAGAATAAGGAACAAATAAAATGAAAATATTATTTCATCCGCACCGACTGACTATCTGAAACAGTCTAACTGACGACACAAAACGTACATAGAAAAAAAGCTATGATTTCACTGTTATGAGAGAAAAAGACTTTTTGGCTCGATAACAAAATATGTATAAAATTTTTTTGGTAGCATGGACTAGTCTGCATCTGTATGAGTGATTACGTAGGTTTTTTTCGCAACAATTTCCTTTTTTTTATCTATGAGTCATGGCTGTGGTAGTAGGATATGTACCAACAAATAATAGTAGCATGTGAATTTGTTCTCACGAGAGGAAAATCCTTAAGACGTTTCCTCATTTCTGTCTAATTAAGTTTATGTCTAATGTTGCACCTGATCTAACATTATTCCTTCTTTTAAAGATATTACAGGAGGAGAAAACACTAAACATTTTAAATTTATGTTCAATCTTTAAATTAAAGTTATTCTTATTCTTATGGCTGCACTATCTCCTTTCTTTGTGGCAGTTATGATTTAAACTTTTCCTCAATTGCTTCTTTTAAAAACAACCTTAGTTCAGTTCTTTAAAAGGCGACACAGAATTTCTCTTTGAGTCAGCATTTTTTGACTGTTTATGATCAATTTTCATTTAGTTCAATGTAGTTACAGAACATATGTGGATTCCAGTTAAGTGGACATAAAAATCTAAATAAATACTTCTATATGCTCAATAAAAGTCATAGCACTCCTTTTAGGGTTGTTCAGCGTTTTCTACATTAGAATAGACTGTTAATTTAAATTGACAAGAGGTGATTTTTGGAAGCAATGCTTTGATTTTTTTATTTTGAATCCACTTTAATTTATGAGTTTGTGCCTTTCTTGTTCTTGTGTCATCATTCATTTGAGCATCTTATTTAATAGAATTATGATTATAATGTCATATTGGAGTAAAATGATGTGAAGGACATTCACGAATCTCATCCGATTATTTACAGTTGACAGAAGCTCGCTGAATAGCCAACACGATTTGACTGATGTATGACTGTTGCTGCATTTTTGTACTGCATTTTATGTACTCAGTTTAAGTCATATTCTAATTTCAAGGTTATCAGGTTAGTTTTGGAAGATTTATCCAAGTTAGCTTATAGAACACAGGGTCGAGTCAGTTCTAGATCAATCCTAGATACATTGCTCTTGACATTGTCAACTTCTCTTGCATATAAAATAGCGATATGAATCTCGGTAATTCTATTTGTCGAACAAGAATATATGAGCCACACAGAAAATAGATTTTACTTCTTATTTATGGTTGAGAGTCAGTTCCAATGGTCATTTTTTGGTGACTTGCCAAATTGAATTTTTGTATTAATTTAATACGTATGTTTTTCATCCAAATGGTCATGAATAAACAGACAGATATAACTTGTGCTTGCATTTTTACATGCTGTCTCTTAAATCTGCTGTTTGCCATGAGAACTAATTTTTTTCGTTAGAATTAATGGAATAAAAATATGACAGCGAATATTGAAGCATAAAAAAGCTGTGGGAAAATTAAACGATGAGTCTTACTATCGTCTAAAAGCTTTAATATTTATACAAGCATGAAAAATATTATGAATACTATTGTTCAATTTATGTTGTCATAATATCACATTTACGGCATCATACAAAAGTAGTTTAAGTTCCTTATATGAGGATAAATGCACTCGACAATAAATGAATAAATTACAGAGCTTTTTGTGATTAAAGCCATTATAGCTTTTTGATGTGAAAGTTTCATACGAAATGCTGGCTTTTAATGTATCCATATGTTGCATTTGATGCTTATTTCATGAAATTAATAAGTAACATCTAGCCTAAAGCACAATAACACAAAAATTGCTTTAAAACTTGCTTGTTTTTTTAAAGAACAAAATCCAGAAAAATCAAATTCTTCCCTCACCCTTCCGCTGGATGTCATTGTACGTAACAAATGAATAATCCATAAACTAATCTTCAATGAAACATGGAAATTACTACCTTTACTTCTTGCTATTAACATATTTACAGATGATATAGAAAATAAGGATATGCATAATTAGTTCTTATAATCCTTAAACAATATAGCTCATATATATCGTTGGTAACGTTATTAACTTGAAACTTGATAACATTTAAAGATAAAAAAATGTCTCTTCGTATGTTTGGATTTAAAAAAGTTTTATAGCAACAAATCCTTAATGGATAGTTTGCTTCTGAATCGCAGAGTATCTTTAATAATAACCCTCTCATATTTTTGTTACAGAAAATGCTCTCGGAAAAATCCCAGTCTAAATGTTAAATACCAAAATATGATGATTCGCACAAAAAGAAAAATAATGTTTGAAGTTGAGAAAAAACATTTCAAATTCGAGTTCCGAAAGAAAAACATTTTGTGCTAATTGAATGAAAAGATAATGACTGCAAATCCTTTTTGAAATATCTGTTTATACATTCATTGACTGAATCACTGCTTTAACAATTGTTCAATCAGTGTAATTGTCTAAATTAAGAAGGAAGGCTCGATGATAATACATGCATTATGGAAATTAGACAGATAAGAACGTTAGGATTCGCGATTTGAAAATTGATACAAATAAAGAATGTATAAAGAATAAGATAATTGAATTATTTGTGGAGTCTTATTCAAATAAAGTTTTTTGAGGCATTTCAATGAAAATCGTTGCTTTTCCAATTTTCTTTCTGAAGGGTTGGGGTTTCTGGACTCATGCCTTTCATACTCAAAAGTTCCTTCTCTCTATCCTTTTATTTTTAAAGCTATTTTGTATTGTCTTGTGTCAAAAAGTAGATTTAAATATAAAACAAATTAATCAAGCCGTCCGCAGATTATAATCTTTTAGAAACGAACATTATAATCTTTGTATGAAAGATTATCAAAGATTATAATCTTTGTATGAGATTATGTAAAGATTACAATCTGCGGGAGCTTTGAAATAAATGATCAGAAAATTAATATTCTTTCTGAGGATGAGAAGGGTTTATAGAAATTCAATTTCTTAGTAGACGTCATTTTTGATCTATTGTTGAACATATGGTTATGTTTGAAGAATATAGCACATGAATATAATTATGATATTTGTACAAATTATGATGACACTATTCAATCCTCAAATTTAAAATAAAGGAGACAGTAAGTACTTGCCAATTTTTTTTATGAAAATAGAAAAGAAATATTGAGTTTATAGCTTGCGTAGGACTATAAAACATAGAAAAAGATTATGATTTATGGCTTCTGAATGATAATTTTTTAAATAAAAGAAAATTGCGTTCATTTAGCGTGTTTTTGCACAAAATTGTCTGCTTCCCACATCCATGTTATACATATAGGATGTATGCGAAAACAGTGATATATGTCCTTATTTGTCGACGACAAAAGAATTGAAAAAATAAAAAGAATAAACTGATATAATCTGTAATTCCGTAAAGTAATAAGCATATAAAAAGAACAGAAGCATTTTGGCGGCTTTTGCTTCCTCCAACAGCTTTTATTGCTTTATAGATACATAGAATAAAAAATATAAAAATGAAGAAAAAAATTATCGAAGCGTTATGAGAAGAAGGGATAAAGAAATTGCAGATAAAATTCAATGTTCTTGTCAATGTCATGTTAGTCGTAAAATGACTTTTATCCTCTTATTGTTCCTCATGAAACTATGATTTCTGTATTTATGAGCTTCCAAAAATATAACGCAAAATGCTAACAATATACTTAAAAGTCAAGAAGCAAGAAATCATTCTTCAAGTTTGTATTTTCTCTAGCCATAGATGCAATAAGCTGAAATTTCAGCACAACAGTAGATGAAAAGTTTTGTTATCATGAGATAAACTTTTGCTTAATCATAACACAACTCATAATTAAGCTATTGCACATATTCTGTTATTGCCAAATATAAATTTTCATTTTCTTTTGTCGCTTACTTCCTTATGAATTTTTTGTCTATAGAAATGGTGTTAAAAAATTCATAGCGATTCACATTCAATTATTAGAGACAGTATCATAAAAAAATTTCTATATTAAACTTTTAAAGAGTATATCCAACATATGCTTTAAATAGAAATTTGTTGACCCAAAAGAACGAATCTATCCTCAAAGCAGAAAAATCTAATTAACTGTCAGGACTAAAATTTGCATAGTGAATGGGTAATAAATTACTACCTTTGCATGCTTTTAATTTTAAAACTCTTCAGTGTTCCGCAAAACATAAACAAACTTTAAACTCATGTTGTTTAAACGCCTTACGTATTGATATATTCCTTCCGATAAGTGTCTAAATTTAATTGATTTACGTCTTTTTTTCAAGTGAAATTCTTTTCTTTTGTCTATAGAACAATTTTACGTCTATGACCTTTAGCAGTAAGACTTAATTGTATTCAGAGTAACTATCATGGACCAAAAAAATCAATCAAAATTTTTTCCAGCATTTCCGGAAGAATTTTATTAAAGCATGATTTAAACAAACATCCAGGACGTTGCTTCTTCGTCCTCTCAAAGATTAAATTAAATGTTATTAAAAAATTGAGGATGTGCTCGAAAATATGTATCCTGACATAAATTCTAAAGATATTTCAACCTTGCATTCCCTACAACATGCTTTATTTAAAAAAAAGATACGAAAAGTCATTTGATGAATTCATTAGCATTTGCGTTTAATTATAAACAAACAGTATCACGAGACTAATTTCGTAGGCGCTAATGACTATAGCATTTAAAGGCACGAATCCATGAATAGCTTTTATCTTCAGTGAATAAATGTATAAAAATTAAGATGACACGAATTCACAATAATTTTAATATCCTACAATTGACTTGATAATATTTTCTGATTGATCAAATGAATTGTTGTGACTTAAAGTTCAGTGCAGATTTTGATTTAAAGAAATTATTGAGAACCATGATTTACTTTATTTTCAAATACAAAAATTTTACACATCTTAATTTTATAAAATTTTCTTGTGATGTTCTTGGATAATTTAATCTCAGATATTAAGGACCATGGTTGAATTTTTTAAGGTTTATCATTGTGACTTAAAGTGTCCTATTCAAATATGTTTAACTGAAAAAATTTCATGCAATGCACAAAAATTCGAAAACTTGAAAAAATATTTTTTATATCACTTATTGCATTCAAGTTTTAGGAGAGAGGTTTTAAGTCCAAAATTTGGTTATATTTGGACGATTCCATTGAATTTCAATATTTAATAAATTTTTTATTATGATCTCGATATTGTGCAACAAAAACGTCAGATTCCTCTTATTCTTTTGATTCTATCGCGAATTTTTAATAAAGCACAAAAAGAAATCAAAATTTTTGTTAACATTTTTTTAAGGGTTGAAGGAGTTGAAACGCAAGCAATGCTCAAAAAATACAAAACAATTCGCAAAAACATTTTCTTATTGAAAAATTTCATAATTTTTTCTATTTGCAAAAATATTTTGTATTTTGGATCTTGCAAAAAGTTTCAGGTCTTTTTTACTCAAAAGAATTTTTTTTGCATAAGTAAGAAAGACATAAGAAGAAAAAATTATTGTCATGATTTTGCAGTTTATTATACGTAAAAAAATTCTCAAACGACTTTATAAATCATGTCATAAAGTATTTCCTTTCAGCACGTGCAATAGTCCAATTGAAATCCTCTTGTGTGTTATTTATTTAATATGTCAGAAGCATTTTAGTGGTAAATTGTGCAATCACGGAATATTTTGTCATCAAACATTTATAAAATAAAAGATGCTTACAATTCTGTACTTTAGACTTCTAACAATTAGTTGTTATAACAATAAACAGAATTAAAATGATAAAAATACAGAACTTAAATCCTCAAAATTGTAAGGTTTATTCACACTTAAAATAAATCAAAAAATCAAATTTTAGTCACTTTCACTTCGTACTTTCTTATCATTCTTTACTGCTCAATGGCAATTTTACTTCTGACTGAGAGATGCTCCATCCTCGGTGTTCTTATATAACTCAAAGCACTTGTTGAAATGAAACGCACGATTTTCAGATACTGAATGTGCACCCACAAAGTCTTCATTCATCCACCCCTTATCGGTCTGTCGTATCTAACATCGGGTAAATTTTGCTTCTTCCTTTACATTTCTTTCCTTTTTGGTGCGAGGCAAAGGAAAGCATCTGTGGTTCAATTGTATGCTGCGCGTTTTTTTTTTTTTTTTTGAGAGAAAATGAGAAATTCTTCAGCAAACTTTCCTACATTTTTCGTGAGAATGTTGAGGGATAAAAACGGCACATAAGCATAACAGAGAAAATTCTCTCTTGGTTAAAAAGAAAAATATTTCTCCTTTATTAAAATGCATTCTACAACATAAATATCTACACATGTCATAAATCTTTACTGTATCACTCAATTATGATTAATATATAAAATTAGCATGATAATAATTTAAATTTGGTTCCCATATGCTTATCGTAAAATTACACATAAAGTTTCGTAGCAAGCATTGATTTCATTCCTGTGTTGAACCATTGGGTGATATGGTGGTGATGAGCAGTAACGATTTATTTTTTGGGAGAAGCGTGTTGAATTCGTAACATTAAAGATGAGAAAAATAGATGGGGGACATCATGTTGATGACGATGTTACAAACATATAACAATGAAAAATCACCAACGTCAGCAAGTGTAGCTTGCTATTATATAGCATACGATTATTTTTAATAAATAATTATGAGCCAAACATGAAGTTTAATAAATTAAATTGGATCCATAGATGATGTGGGTATTTTAATACGTTAGAGCATGTTGGCAATTTTTCTGGTGCCGCAATTCGATCTTTTGACTCATGGCTTTACGCAATTAATTATCATTTCTAGGCAATATTCAATGATATGATATACTAACTCTATGCTACATAGGAAGCTTAGTCCTAGAAATAATGCTAAACTCCCACCTAATCCAACTATTGTAAAAGAATTGTTATTAACAATGCTTTAACATTTAGTAAAGTTCATATTACCTAGCAAGTCATCAAAGTCAAACAATACACTCCGCTTTATTCGTGTCTTTGGGAAAATCAAATCGATTGTCAGCATACGGTCAAATTGAAGGTTTTGCTGTAAAGTTTTGAGTGATAATTTTAATTAATTATAGTGTAACTGTAACTTACATCCTTGGATGATAATTTCGTCAAAATGGTTGTTTCGCATAGCTTCATGCATTCACATTTACTTGCATCGTACCATTCTGTTTTGCTTAAACATATCAATCCAGTCATATTACAGAATTTAACACCTCTCACAGGATAAAAGTACGGTACGCATTTGCAATAACGTAAAGCTCTTCTAATTCGGCAACTCATTTTACAGAAATTTGGTGTGTAAAGCTATAAATCATTAAAGTGGAAACATTTAAACAATTTCCAATGAAAATTTGTTATTACATCATAATATCCATCTTGCTGATGTTCATCCATGAATTTGCACTTTCTACTTTTTGGTTTGAAGTGTCTTATATTCGGATCAGCAATTATGTCGTCAATCTTAACATGCCTTTCTTGAATTGATGAGCCGGCTAATTCTACATAATCCAAGTCATCGCCACACATGACTTCATCATAACTATTGATGTACTGGTAATGATTTAATAGATTAATATCAAAAACAGTGGAAATTTCCATTGATATTCTTACAATTCTGTTTACAGCCTCTACATCTAAATTATTGGGAGTAACCGATATTCTACAAACTTCAAGCGATGTACATTTATCACCTCTATCTATAGTTCCATTTACTCGTTCAAATGGTGACGTACTTTTAAAAGGAAAATCATTGTTCTTACTTCCATAATACTGATTTGTTCAATTTAAGTATTTTTCTCGATACAAATTGTGATCTTACCTTTTTATTGGAAGTTGCCACTTGAAATGTGTTGTTGAGCTTTGACACATGCCTCTCTATATTAATATTACAAGATTCATTGCAATTTTGTGTAACTTTCTATTTAATATTATTTACAAACCTCTGTCATTACTTTTGCGAATTGAATCCCAGCCGTGGGATAATCTTTAAATAAATCATATGCCATATCCATAAGATTCAGATCATTCACGCCAGGCATATCATTAAATGGTTGTAAAAGGTTCAGTGTGTTGTACATGGTTGCTTTTATCTGCTCAACAAATTTTACTGACTCGTTGTATCTCTCATCTCCTGGTTCAACACCAAAAAACCTATTTAAAATATTAATACCTTATGTTTATAAACATTAGATGATGCAACTCACTTTTTAACAATGCTCCCCATTACTGCCGTTGTATTGTAGTTACTTGTGCAAATAGTAAACGAAGGTCGATCAAATTCTCCATAAGATACAATATCAACCGATAAAACTGTTGGATTGTCTTCATATCTGTTTTTTAAAAAAAAAATAATTAATTCAAATTTTTACACGTGCAAGGACACGTGTTGATACTGTTAAATTATTCCGGTTATTGTCATTGTCATGGACGTCGTCCACAAATGATTTTGATCAAAAAGTTTATTTCATAGAATTCTTGCTGTCTTAAAATTAGCATCGACCTCCTTAAGCAAGTATCACAAAGTTTTTAAAATGCATCACCTGCTTGTCAAAGACATTTGTAACCGTCTACGATATAAAGCGTTAACTGACTTATGTAAGTCTTAAAATCTCATATCTTCGATAGACATTATTTGTGGATTGCTCTATACCAGAATTGATTTTAAAAATGATTTAAAAATTATAATTTTTCAAGGTCAAACCTTTTGAGTTGTCCAGAAAAGGCTTCCTGTGCACAGTAAAAGCTAACAGCTAAAATCATGAGCCAAAACATTCTGAAAGATAATAAAATTTTATGGATTATTAGTTCTATACTGAATACATACTTCTCCAGAACATGAAAGTCTCTTCGAATAACATATGGAAAGCCATGAATTGAGGAGCTGTCAAAAATTTCTTCAATAAATTCACGAAATCGACTCAGCTTGATGTGCATTATGGTGAATTTCAAATAGAAGTAAAAGCTAATTTCATTGCATTTTTTTTGAATAAGGGAACAAGATATGTATAAAGGATAATTAATAGGAACATGGCAATTGCATTAAAGGAATTAAATGTTTGCATGCATGATGAAATTACATTAATGTAAAAGTTTCGTATATCCATATAGTGAATATTAAGTTCATACTAGCATAGAAATCTGTCAAGTCTAATCATTAAGGGCTAAAAATAGACAGACAATAAATAAGAGATTATGAGCAGTAACAAAACATATGGCATGAAAACACGAGGAATTTTTTACATTTCAAAGAAACGTCATCAATATCAGGTCGCATAAATTTTGTGAAGACTATAAAATCCAAAAAATAACTTGTTTCCGACTTGTGTCTAACGTAGAAAAACTTTACAGTATGCAAATTTCTAAAGACTTCGTAGCTGATCGTCTTCAGTCTTAATTTGATTTTCATTTCGTTTACACGTGGAAAAATTCAAAGGTTGGATATACTTTAGATCAATTTTAATTATGTAAGATTTAAATATTGGGTGCTCAAACTAAAGAACAATCCAAGCATTTGACATTTTGTATCCTTGAAAATAAATGCAACATTGGATCTACATTTTTGTTTTTAATGCATCATTAGAACTGACATTTCGGAGTGCTTTTCAACTTTAATCTTTATACTGCGTTGTGCTAAAAAGTTCAAATCCAAAATATATAGACTCAGAATTTATTCAATGTGGTATGATTTATGTGCCTCTCATGACTAGACGGAAGAGAAATTTGTGTGTGATATAAAATTTCTTTACGTATCGAGAGTTGTCAATGCTAAAGTGAAGATGATAATAAATCATTGTTCATTTAAGACATGTGAAATTTGCTGAACAGTTTTTGGGAAATCAGAAAGTTGATTTACCTTAAATCCACTTAAATCTAATATTTCAATACTTTTGCAATGCAGCAATACTGAAATTTTAAAATTAAGATTATTCAAATCTTTCAGGTTTGAAAAATAAGTTTGTAAAAAAAATTATTGAACATTCCTCGATATTCTCACAGAGAATTTAGCTACCAATAAGATAAAATCACGCTTTCTATAATTTGCATTAAGTTTAACATTCTAATTAAAATAGGAAATAATCTTTTTTTGCATCTAAAAGTTAAGCTAAAGCATTTATAATATGAATAATCAACGAATAATCTGACAAAGAAATTTCAAAGATGTTGTTTTTTTGGTGAGAAATTTAAAAATGAAATGTGTGACAAAGTTTTGGAAGATTTCTTTCCTCTTCTTTCCATCAAAAACCATTTATTTCATTCCTCAAAAACTAGTTTGTTACGACAGATTTTTCGAACTTGTTTGTGATATCATTTTATTGAGACGAATCTTCTTTATAAATAAATTCACGTGTTTGAATATAAAGCATACTAAAATTATAATATCCGTGACCTACACAATTCATTATTGGATTGTCTTTATTGTGATTTTCAATGCAGAATTTACAAAAATTCAAGTTTATTTACATATTCCCTTTGAATGAGATTACATTGAAATGTTAAGGTGTTAAATTTATACAAATGAGCAGTTTTTATAGGTTTTTTGAAGAGCATCAAGTTCCGGGCATGCATTTACAAAATAAGGCACACATTTTGTCAATTTATTATTCATGTAAAGCAAGCACATTTCCCATACTAGCCAAAAAAATGCAAAAACTGCGAGAAAAGGAAAACGAAATCATTAAAAAAATTACTTTTTTAGTGAAAACTCAATCATGGCAGCAGAAGAGGACCGTTTGGCAAAAGCCTTTGAAAATAAAGTCATTTTCCTCACTGGAGGTAAGTCATAATATGCATGTTTTAAAAATTGTCAATTCCTTTAAAATCTGAATTTTTTATAATGATAAAAAATTAAGACCCGAGTTGCTTACACCAAGCATTTAGTTATGCCACCAAATAGTTTAAAAGTTATGTTTTATTAAATGTTTGCGTGACAAAAACGTCAATTTAAAATTGATAATGAACCAAAAATCACGTATTTAATTAACCTTAGCTCCTTTCAATATTTCTCATCTTAAAAAAATTTTTATGCAATTTTAAACTGACAATTTAAGACTTTTTTTGGGATGTATGATAATATGACAATATTATTAATTACTGGCTGTCACTTGTGTTATTTTCTCATAATAAAGGTACTGGCTTCATGGGTAAAATTTTCATCGAGCGTTTATTACGAGATACGGAAGTAGCCAAAATTTATCTTTTGGTTCGTCCAAAACGAGGAAAGACTCCTCGACAACGAGTAACAGAGATCTTTAACGACCCTGTAAGAAGTGACTGTTATATATTTTTCAATAAATCCTTTATAATGAAATTTTTATTAACTAGCTTTTTGACTTGCTGAAAGAAAAAATTAGCATAGAAACAATTTTATCTAAAACAGATGTAATTAATGGAAATTGTGAAGAATTAGATGTAGGAATTTCTGAAGAAGATCGACAATTTATTATTGAGAATATCACACAAATTTTCCATTTTGCTGCCACGATTCGATTTGATGAAGCAATGAAAAAAGCTGTTCTGATGAATACAAGAGGCTCAAGAGAAATGCTTAAGCTAGCACGACAATGTAAAAAACTTGAGCTTTATGGGCATATGTCAACTGCTTATTGTCATTTGCATGTACAATTTCTACTCGAACAGGTTAGATCATTCTGTATTTTTGTTTTTAAACAATAATTATCTCATTGCTGTTATTTCCAGCCATATGATCCGCCTGCAGATCCAAACGAAATTATTAAAATGATTGAAAACATGTCTGATGAAGAGATTGAAAATCAATCGAAAGGAATTTTGGAAAAGCTTAATCTACCAAATACTTATGGTAAGTGGCATTCTTTTCCTATAGCCGACTATATCTTTGGAAATAAATATATTTCTTTCACAGCTTTTACAAAGTCGCTAGCAGAAGCACTTGTTGTTGAAGCACGAAACAAACATAAGCTACCAGTATTAATATTCAGACCTTCAATTATTCTTGCTACATGGCGTGATCCTATTCCTGGATATGTTGATAACTTTAATGGACCTAGTACGTATTAATTAATTCTTAAGGCTGTTTGATAAGCATGCAAAATGGAATCTGTCTTTTAGTTGGATTAATGCTTGCTGTTGGAAAAGGTGTTGCAAGAAGCATGTATTGTGACCAGAAAAGTTATGGAGATTTTGTACCCGTAGATATTGCAATAAATGCACTGTTTATATCTGTTTGGAACTTTTACACTTATAAGTATGGGAAATGTATAAAAATTATTACTATTTTAAAATCTAATGTTTAATATTTCAGGAACGAAGATCATTTTATAATTCATTTTACGAGTTCAAATGAAATTCGTTTGACTTGGGAAGACATGGCTATTTTGGGAAAGGAAACAATTCAAAATGACTATCCATTTAATCAAATTTTATGGTATCCAAACATAACAATGACACAATATCGTTGGCTTCACAGTATTAGAGCTTTCTTATTCCATTGGATTCCTGCTTATGTTGTTGACTTTTTACTCCAAATGTTGGGCTATCAGCAATTGTAAGTCGATCAATTCCCTAGCGAGACTAACTAGCAAATTGCTAGTCTTTCTATTCTACAACTTGCAATTTACTAGTTATTATTAAAACAACTTACTGTTAATAAATTACACTTGCTATTTACTAGCAAATTACTAGCAAATTACCATGTAAAATGTTTGATCAAATCTACTTAAGTTCGAATCTTACGAAAAATCATCATAAAAAGAATTTTTTGCGTCATAAAAAATTTTGGTTCTAAATTTGGCATTTGCCATATACTTCACAAGAGCGCGCAGAAATCACCTTTATAAGGTCGATCCAAATTTGTATGTGACTTTCAATTAATTATTTATCTTCCTCAGGTTTGCGTGCGAGTCATGGGCGTTCATCACTATTCGACTTAATTAAATTCAGTCTTTTATTTATTTTTCATAGTGTTAGTGTACTTTAATTAACTTTAAATAAGTACACACTAATACTTTTACAATAATTTACACAAATAAGAAAAATCAAAAAAACACGTGGAAATCAACGGTTATATTCATTTAAAATTTTTACAAATTTGCTAGTAAATTACTAGTTAAATTGTAAGCGAATTGACTAGTCAATTAGCAAGTGAAAATGCGGGTCTTTGGCGATGATTTGAACTTGGATTTTGACTAGTAAATAGCAAGTAGCAAATGGAAAGTTATCCAGTAAATTACTAGGAAATTACTAGTAAATTTCTGCTAGGGATTAAATTAATATTAAATCATTTTATTGTTAAAATTTCTTTTAAAGCATGAAGAAAGCTGCATTAAGAGTTGATAAAGCCGTTGAAGTTCTGGAGTATTATGCTAACAATCAATGGGATTTTGATGCTAGTATTCAATGTTTATTCAAGAGTAGACTCACTCCTTATGAAGAAAATAAATACAAAGTTAATGCACGAGGAATAAGCATTCGTCAAGTTTTTTCGGAAAGTGCTCTCGGACTTCGTCGATACGTTGATAAAACTCCCGATAGTATGATTCCTGCAGCATTTCGCCTTTTGAAAATGTAAGTTTATGTAAAGTATATCCTTGGGATTTGTTTAAATAACTTTTTATATCTGCCTTAATTCCAGAATGAACATAGTTGACAAAGTCACCAAACTAGTAGTCTATGGAAGTTTATTTTACTGGCTATATACATTAATTTTAGCTTTAGCTGGTGGAGCAAACATTCCAATAACAATCTTAAAACTTTTGTTTTGTCTTTTCGCAATTCTTATTTAAATTAAACTTTTTAATTTGAAAGCAATTATTGAATATTTTCAATCCTAGTTATATAAGACATGTTTTATAATTTTATAAGATTTTTTAATTTAAATGCTAAAGGGATTAAATAAATTTTGGTATATCAGATAAAAGTGGCAATTGTCAGTTACAATGTTTCTAGGGGGTCGAATTTGCATGTTTGTTAAATGTTTTTTTTTTGAACATAATCTTTATGTACGTACTATTAAACAAGTTGAGTATGATCATAACATATGATGAAGATTATTGAAGCAAAACAGTGTATTTACCAAACGAGAGAATTGCAAATTGCTGAGAATAATGCAATTTTTCCCTTTCTTTTTAAACTACGAGACTTACGGAGGAAACTACACTCAGTTCAGTAGTTGATTTTGTTGCATTCGGACGCTTCTCAAAAAAGAAAACTTCAACTAGATTCAGTGCAGTAGTAACAGATACAAGTGAAGACAGAATATTAGAAAGGATTCCCGTTTGTTTGAAGCCGTTTGAAGTATGATTTAAAATAGATTTAACTGTGCATTTATGTCACATAATGGTTGTAAAAACTGTAAACTGTTAAAGTTCAAATCAATTAAATTTTGAAAAGTGAAAGTGAAAAGGAGTCATCAGATGGACTTGCATCTACTTTATATTCAAAAGTGATTTAAAAAAATTCCAGAAGAATACGTTCATTGATGCAATGAATGTTTTGGACTTAAACCTGTTTTTCAGCCTGTGTAAAATGCACTTTGCAGTTCTTACATAATTTTCTCTTACCAGACATTCAACTTTATTCTCTTTCTCTTGCATTTTCGATGCAATGACCAAGCATGGCATTCATGTGCTTAATTTCTCATGTTGCACGCGTTATTGATTCCGTAAATTATTTTTCGCAAAATGAATTCTAGTTTACAGTAGTTCCAAGAAATACTTTGTTGCAATACATTTCGTACTAGGTGTATAGATGTTGAAAATGACCTGTACCTCATATTTCACGAAAACTGTTCCTAGAATTCATACATGATTGCATCAATATCTTACGAAATCTTAAAATATTTTAACCTTACGATCTTTGCAATTATAATATAATTAAATTGTTTTTCGTGTTGTTTTTAATTGTTCATAAAAGACCTGCTCATCACTAAATTAACATTATTCAACTTTAACCCATTGGATAATAAGCTGATTAAATTTAAATTGTTTAAATTATTCCAGTTACTTCCAGAAATAAAGATGCATTATTTATTATTGCATTTATCCCTAATTATATTTTAAGTGAATTCGTGACTTTTGTTTTTTCATGCCTTATAATTTTTTTATGAATGAATTTCACGTGGATGCACTACAATTTTTATCTGTAGTAAAACATTAAGCCACAAAACATTGAAACAGTGGAAATGGAAACAAAACATTGAAATGAATTATGAATGAATTTTTAGTAATGTGACATCAAAAAGTTTATTTTATGTCTGCCAAGTTTTTATTTATTTGTATAATACGTCATTATTTGCAGGAAATAAATCAAATTTAACTTAAAAGAACATTATAATGGATGAAGATCGCATTGCGCCAGTTTTTAAGGACCGTCATGTCTTTTTGACAGGAGGTACTTTGAGTTTAATGTATAAACTCAGACTAGATTGATCAATTAATTATTAATTTTTAAGGTACTGGCTTCATGGGAAAAGTGTTTATCGAGAAAATGTTGAGAATAACTAAAGTTGGAAAATTGTATCTTCTAATGCGCCCCAAAAAAGGAAAAAATCCTAAAGATCGCTTAGTTGACATGTTTACGAATCCAGTAAGCGCTTATAAAATATTTTATATCTCTTTTAATTTACTTAAAAACTAATATCCGTAGCTTTTTGAGATGGTGAAAAAGCAAAAGTCTATGGATGAATTATTGAGTAAAATTATCATTATAAATGGCGATTGCTCAGTGGTAGGTTTAGGAATATCTGAAACAGATCGACAACTCATAGCTGAGAATGTTACCTTAATCTATCACTTTGCGGCTACGATTCGATTTGATGAAAAGCTAAAGAAAGCTGTAGAACTGAATACAAGAGGCACACGAGAAATGATCAAATTGGCAAAAGAATGTAAAAAGCTTGATATGTTTGGCTACATGTCTACGTCGTACTGTCATTTGCATATAAGTTTCCTCTTAGAAAAGGTAAGTGATTTTAAAAAAGCTTAAATAATTCATAGCTATGTCTTTTTATAGCCTTACGATCCACCAGCTGACCCAAACAAAATCATCAACTCAGTTGAGCTTTTAACAGAAAATGAAGTTGAAGCAATGTCCAAAAAAATATTAGGAAACTTGCCTAACTCGTACGCTTTTACAAAAGCACTTGCAGAAGCTTTAGTGAATGATGCATGCCAAAATGATAATTTACCAGCTATGATATTACGACCATCTATTGTTATTCCTACTTTGGCTGGTAAATAATTGAAGATTTTAATTGCATAAATTTAAAGTTATGGGAATTATTTCTTATAGATCCAATAAAAGGATGGACAGACAATTTAAACGGACCGTAAGTCAGATAAATTTTTTTAACAAGTCGATAAAGCAGAATTATCAAGTTCTTAATAAAAATCTAAACATTTTAGTGCAGGGTTGATGATCGGTGCTGGAAAAGGTGTCATTCGAACAATTTATTGCGACCAGAAAAGTTATGGTAATGCTTCAGATTATCAAAATGTTTCTAATTATTAATACGGTATTTCTATAAAGGCGATTTCCTTCCTGTTGATGTTGCGATCAATGGATTGATGGTTTGCACTTGGAACTACCTTGCATTCAAGTAAGAAATAAAATTTACCAAAAAAGCTTTTTAAAAGTCAATTATTACCCTTAACAGCGACCGAGAGCATTATATTGTCAACTTTACAAGCTCACAAGACATCAAAGTTACATGGGAAGAGATCTTAGTGATGGGACAAAAGGCTATAAATAATAAATATCCGGTAAGAGTACACTTTTTGATATTTTGAATCAATCAATTGAATCTTTTATTCCTTTATAATTTAGATTAATGGAATCTTATGGTATCCTGGAGGTAAAATTCTTATTTTTCCCTAAAAAATAAAAAGCTATAATTGCTTCAAATCTAATAGGAAATATGTCTAAACATCAGTGGGTTCATAAGATAAAAGCATTCCTATTTCATTGGATCCCAGCATTATTTATTGACACTTTACTATTCTGTCTTGGTTATAAGCCAATGTAAGTGAGATTTAAAATTCGTTTCAAAATATTCTTTAATGTCTTAATTACTAACAGATTATGGAGAGTTCACGAGAGAATCGCCAAAGGAATGGAAGTTCTTCAATATTATGCTAATAATCAATGGGATTTCGATAACAAACATGCAATCATCATAAGAGGAAGGATGAATGAATACGAGTTGGAAAAATATAAAGTTGATGCCAAAGGAATCAATATTTACAAATATTTTGAAGATTGCATTCTTGGAGGACGTAGATACTTATTAAAGCAGCCAGATGAAATGATTCCATCGGCTCGACGTATGATGCAAGTCATGTACTTATTAGATCGATTCTGTAAATTGGTGATTTATGGTGGTCTTCTTTACTGGTTTATGAACCGAATACTTCCACTTTTTGTATCCCAAGATTCATTGAATCAATTTTATTCTATCATCAAAAATGCTTTTAAGAAGTAACTTGGAGTTAATTTTCTTAGTCTTTTCTTATTATTTAATTTAAAATCATATTTTAAAGACATATCGGTCCGCTCTTTATTTTGATTGCCGCAAAAGTTTTGAAAACACTCCCACCCTCCCCATTAAAGCAAATGTTTTAGGGTTTTGCTCAAGTCTATTGAATTAACAAGATAGTAATATTAAGCTTTTAAAAACAGGACAAAACGTGCTTAATTATGGTATTTCCAAATCTTACGAAGAAGATTTATTTAACCAATTTATTATTAAAATCATTAAAATGAAAAAATATTATACACAAAAAAAAATATAAAAATAAAACTTTATCAAACTATAAACACATAATTTTCACTTAAGACATTTTGATCACGGATCTGTTAGAAATTCCAGCATACATTTTCAACATCAGATATCCAAACAAAACAGCGAATAATGATTTCACAGTAAAATCCAACCAGAAAAGAAAAACAAATTTACGCTTAGCTTCAGGGATGGTGCTGTCGTCAAGTTTCATAACAAACCGCCTTGAGCCAATGACCCAATGTTCTACGTATTTATCAAAATCCAATTTCGACACGTCAAAGTTGAACTTTTCTCTAAAATGCAAATATCATTAATTACAATTGTAAATTTTCCACTGTTTAAAGGTTAATGAGATGTTACAACAGTAAGGAAATGTGTCGTTAGAAAAACAATAATTATAGAGGTGACCAATAATCTCAACACAGTAGTAACAAGCAAGTATCGTCATAAAAAAAAATAAACTGACCTTTCCTCCACATTTAATCTCTGAACTAATAATTGACAATTCTTCGCATCCCAAGTCCAAGAATTGTTGATAAAGTATTTAAATACATTGATTGAATCAAAAATTCTTCGTTGAAGTTTAATAGCCCATCGCTTTTTCCCAGCTAATACAGCACAAATATCAATTAAACATGCTGGGATGAATTGGAATAATGTAAAGTAAAGCAAGTAGAAGTAATAATTAGCACACATTCTTCCTCCTGGATACCAAAATACTTTGATTGACGGATATTGCATGTAAGTTTGGCGACCTAGTAATGGTAATCATGTAATAATCCAACAAAAAATTAATGTCTTAATTTAATTTTTACCCATTTCCAAAAATTCATTCCATGTTAAATTGAATTGTTGACTTGATGTACAATTATAAATCTCAAGTGATTTCGTTGGGCTTGACGAAATTGACGCACCAGCAGTAATAACACAATTCGCTACAAAGTCACATGGTATGAGATCGCATATTAAATCTCCATTTCCATGTACTGTACGCAAAATACCCGAACTAGCTCCTAGAAGAACACCTGTGAGAATATGGAAAATTTATTAATTACTATTGAGCCTGATTATTTATTCAGAAATAAAATCAAATATCAATTTTAATTGTGATGATGCAAAATCAATTGCAAACTACTTACCCATTGGACCATTTTGACTGTCAACCTTGTGTTTAAAACAAATAAAATTTAATTAGCATTTTGGTAATGAATTTTTTTAAATTAATAAAAAAATTGAACAAGATTTAATCCGACACTTGTTTGCTTTTAATCAGTGTCATTCAATAAAATATCATCTTTTTTGTTTTGTTTGAGCTCTTTTTGTTGAGTTGAATTTTAAGAATCACAGATAATAATTTAATAGGAAACAAAAGTTTGAATAATTAATTGTAAGTAAATGACTTCATACTTTATAAGATAATTTTGTAATAGTAAAATTAAGTAAAGTGTCTCATATGCAGGCGAATCTGCCAGTGCAAGAGTAAGTCCTCTATCGCGCGAATAGTAAGGTAATAGAGTGCAACCCATTTTTTTCGAGGATGTGGGTTCGACTCCTTAAATATGTAATTATTCTGACAATTAAATTTTGTAAAAGATCTCTAATTTTGACGGATAATTGAAATAAGACATATGAGTCAAAAGATACAAATCTCCAATTTAACACTATAACTATAAACCTTTACTTATTGATCAAGCATAATGTAGAAACAAATTTGATCTACTTCCAGTGAAAATATAACATTATTAAATGATCAATTCATGCTGGGATAACGAAAAATGATTTTGTGTGTAATAAAATCCACAAAATTTGGCTTAAGAAATTGTAACGAAAATGTAGCAAAATAATCCGATTAGTATTAAAAAATTTCGCAACCATTAAACTGTTGTAGGGTCAATAAAAAATGACGTTTATCAATAATAGGATTTTTGGATCACATTCTGTCTTTACTAATAACTGATCAAATAAAAAATTAAAAAGATTATGAATTGTCATCCTGATCTTAAAGCTCTCTCCTTTCTCTTCCTTTGTTTTTAAAGGTAGGAACATTTATGAACAACCTTTAAGTAAAATCGACAATTTGTTTCCTTACCCATCCCATTTCAGGTTCCATATTTGATGGAGTAACGATAGATGGACGAACAATAGTTATTGGAAGATGATCATGTTCTGACACTAATTTTTCAGACAAATGTTTAGTAAGCACATAGGTATTTGGAAAAGTTTTCAGTGCTTCTTGACATAATGCATCAAGTTCTTGATCGTCATTTTTCTCAAACAAGTCAAGGAACTGCTTATAATCAATAATTGGATCGTAAATTTTTTCAAAAATTATTTTTTGATTTGTATTTGAGTATGCAGTGGAGACATGAACAAATCCTTTTAAATTATCACATTTTTCAGCCAATTGAAGCATGTTCCTAGTACTTATTGTATTCATTTGCAATGCAACTCTTATTGGCTCATCAAATCTTACACTAGCTGCACAATGAATAAAAATATTCAAATTTTTTGACAAATATTCTTCATCACTTTCCGATATTCCAAGTTTCGGTTGCATTAGATCACCTTCGATAGCAATCAATTTTTCAAAGATACTAGCATCAATTTTACGCAAATTATTAAAAACTATTGAATTTTTAAAATTCTCAAATCTTTTTGCCAATCCATCACCCTTCTTTGATCTCAATAAAATATAAATATTTTTAATTTTTTTACAGTCACGCAACAACTTTTCCACAAGAACTTTTCCTATAAATCCAGTAGCACCGCTAACAAATACGGACTGATCCTCGTATGTTTTTTCTACAAATATTTCTCGCATCTTGACTCGACAAGCTCTAAAACAAGACTGACTTAACAATTCTTAAATGTGAATATGTTGAGCTGTAAAAAAATAAAGTAAAGTTAAATGTGTAATGGGTCATCAACATTACTTACACTTTTCTGTTGTGTTATGACTTACAGTAAATTAAAAATCTTGTCTACGTTTTCTTAAATTTTTATGCTTCCAATTGCACTATTCTTACTGTTGCTTTAATTATAATTTCATGTGGTTTATAAAGAATTTTTTTTTGAACTATTTTATTATTATTATGGATGTATTTACAGTATGCATATCGAAGACATTTAAACTTCCATTATTTTAAAGCAAATTCCAATGATAATTTTCAAGTGCATTCTTTAAATTTTCTAATTGTTAAAGTTCTTATTTTTAACTCACGGTATGCCTTATTCCTATCAATCAATACAGAAACCTCCTATAGTTGACCTTAGATCAAACTCCAGATATCTAAAAAGCATTAAAATGGCATGTTGTAAACAACTCTGGTTTGAGAATCTAGATCTATTCAAAACCTTTTAAGAAGAGTAAATTGAAAAACTTGATAAACTGTTGTATCTCGGAAACAGATTCAAAGCAGAGTTGTGTTTATACAGACAACTGACAGATCGTAACCTTAAAATAGAGCAGTAATATTCTTGAAAGTACTTTCCGATATTTTTTTGGCAAAACCTTATTAAGAACAGATGTCATCCTTCAAAAATCCCACTGAATCATCAAAAAATAATTCAATATATAAAAGAACTCGATCATTTTTTCGAGGATGATGTCGCAAGAATTCCATTACAATAATTCTGGAAAAAAAATGTAATTTCATTCATTAGTGTCAATACTTGACGGTCATAAACGTGAGAAAAATTCAAATTATTTTCAAATTATCAATATAATGGATGTTTGTTGCTTTAAGTAATTATACTAATTATGAGCAGCTGATTTCACATGAATGTAAATTACATGCAAAGAATTAGCTTTAAAATTTTGTCGCAAGTGATTTAGTTATTATTCAATATTTACTCAGTCGGTATTATGCTGTACAAAACACTGTGCTTGATCTTGACTGATTTTCAAGGGAATTTCTTCAAGTTAACCACAAATATTTCGTCATGTCATAACGCGCACATGTATGATTGAAATAGAAATTGAGCATCATTTATAATTTTAGGGCAAACCTTGATCAGTAATTTGTTTTTAACACGTACATTATAGCTTCACGCTAGTACTTTAATAATAATAATAATTACATGATGAGTAACTTATCAATTATTAAAGTCGTAGCTTCTTTTTAATTAATTAAATGTAATGCGATATAATTTTGATATAATTAATTAATAAGAACATTGCTTATTTAGAATTGAACTTAGTCTGCAGACTATACAGTAACAATGCAGCAACAGAAGGAACAAGAACAAGAAATTGTAGATGTATATTATGTTGTGAAGCCAATCTTCTACTTTTCAAGGTTTTGTGGATTGTGGATACATTCACTGAAGGTCAATATAACATTACCTATGCCAATATCTTGCAGCTTTAATAGCATTATATTCTATTTAATTGTTTAGCGTTCATCGCCCGCTTTTTCAACAGGAAATTTAGTTTATTTCTTTCTTCTACTCTCTGTCTATGGATATTTCTTTTACATCAACATCGATGAAGACTTTTGGATTGAAAAGTTCGGACGGGTGGGTAATGCATGAAGCATAACTACTCAATTAATGGTAAAATAATTTTTTTCAAGGTTGCTGGCTCTGATATTCAAACCTATGGTAAGTGTTGCAACATTAAATGGATCAATTTATTAGATTAATTATGACTGATTAGTTTTGTTGTTTAAAATAATGTTTTATAGAACAATGAAAACCAATTTGTGGCTTTAATTAAACAAAAATTCTTGATACCAAATATTAATTTATCATTTATATGCATTAGGTACATGGAGTCAAGTTTTATCAGGATTATTAATCGGTAATATTGATTTTATTGAGCTCAAGTTAGTTTCTATATGTAGTATGTACAGGCAAACACATCATTTGTGATATATTTGGAAATATAACTGACTGTGACACATTTTATTATGTTCTCAATGCATGATCAGTTTTAACTGCATTGATTCTTGTCAAGTAAGATGTTTAGTGAATATATAAGCAGATCTAGTGACTTATTTAGAACAAATTGAATTATTAAGACCTCAATCTAGAAATCCCTAAAATGAAGCTACCCTAATATGCAGATAGTACTGCCAAGATGCAGATGGTACTGCTAAAGTGCAGATGAAATTTATTTTCCCTAAAATGCAGATGAAATACTGTTGCTTTAAAAAAGGTATAATGCAGATGATTTTTATTGTATAAAGTGCAGATAAGATGCTGCCCAAATGTAGATCGTATAATTTTATTAAAATACATCATATTCCAAGACTTTTTTTTTTGATACGTGTTAATAAAAAAAAAAAAATTCATACAAATTTTCAACTTCAAGTGATTTAAAATCCCAAAAAAATCCCCATACAAAATGATTTAAATCATAAATCAAAAATAAATCACTTGGGTAAAATGATTTAAATCCCCTCCATGCTAATTACATCAAAATTTCGTGTAGCAAAGTAATTTAAAGTCATAAAGTTTGCAATGTATTCAAAAATGCATTTTTGTTTTCCTGAACTTTTTTAATAACAAAACTAGTGTATCGGGTAGAAACCCAATGCAGATATATTCGCACCGTACCATCAAAAGTCTTGTGGAAAGACCAAGCTTAGCTCAGTATTAATTTGAAAGTATAAATCCTGACGAACCAGCTGAGCTGTGCTCAGCATATGTTTGGAGGTTTAAAGCTTAACGAGCATTCTTTAAAGTTTTTTAAAAACATTTTTCATCCAAAGTTTAGTTTTTAAAAATCACAGTCAACTTTTGTTTTAAAAAAATTCGTAAGAAAAGAAAGTTTTTTGCTCTTTCTGAAGCAACGACTGTTCCTATCTTGCCCAAAAACTATACAGGTATTCTATAGAGCAGCACGGATCAAATGTAAAAAACTAGAAGTCTCTCCGATGTCTCGTTATTGAGATTTCTTGCTGATTAACTTGATTGCTTGCTTGTTTGCTTACAGAAAGCGTATTTTGCGATTTTATCAGCAATGCCTCAATCAATTTAAAATTTCTTTTTTGCAGAAGATGTAAAATTTCAGGCACAAACTTTTCATCTTTCGACATTTTAAGCTATCTTGCTCCATATCCTCACAAAATTCAAAAAACTGATTTTTCAATCTGAACAAAACCAATAGATTCACACGTGAAAACGGTGTGAATATAAAAAGTTTCAGAAGAAAAGTTTGTACCAGAAATTTTACATAATTTTCAAAAAACAAATTTCAAATTGATTGAGGCATTGCTGATGAAATTGCAAAATACGCTTTCTGTAAGCAAACAAGCAAGCAAGCAGGCAAGTTAATCAGCAAGAAATCTCAATAACGAGACATTGTAGAGACTTCTAGTTTTTTACATTTGATCTGTGCTACTCTATAGAATAGCTGTATAGTTTTTGGGCAAGGTAGGAACAGTCGTTGCTTCAGAAAAAGCAAAAAACTTTCCTTTCTTACGAATTTTTTAAAAAGTTGACTGTGATTTTTATAAAATTAAACTTTGGATGAAAAATGTTTTTAAAAAGCTTTAAAGAATGCTCGTTAAGCTTTAAACTTAATACTGAGCTAAGCTTGGTCTTTCCACAGGACTTTTGATGGTACGGTGCGAATATATCTGCATTGGGTTTCTACCCGATACACTAGTTTTGTTATTAAAAAAGTTCAGAAAAACAAAAATGCATTTTTGAATACATTGCAAACTTTATGACTTTAAATTACTTTGCTACACGAAATTTTGATGTAATTAGCATGGAGGGGATTTAAATCATTTTACCCAAGTGATTTATTTTTGATTTATGATTTAAATCATTTTGTATGGGGATTTTTTTGGGATTTTAAATCATTTGAAGTTGAAAATTTGTATGGATTTTTTTTTTTTTATTAACACGTATCAAAAAAAAAAGTCTTGGAATATGATGTATTTTAATAAAATTATACGATCTACATTTGGGCAGCATCTTATCTGCACTTTATACTGCTTTATACAATAAAAATCATCTGCATTATACCTTTTTTAAAGCAACAGTATTTCATCTGCATTTTAGGGAAAATAAATTTCATCTGCACTTTAGCAGTACCATCTTGGCAGTACTATCTGCATATTAGGGTAGCTGCATTTCAGGGATTTCTAGATTGAGGTATTATTAAGCTACCTTTTAGAAACAAGTTTCAAAAACGCAGTTAAAAAATTATTGAATAGGAGGGGGCGGGAAGTCGAGTCAACTCCCAAATATATTCTGATTCTTTTCAACTAGAATTGTTTCATTGCATGCTCCTGTAAAGATAAGAATACAATATTAGTAATTTAATGAATTAAGAAGCTAAAACAAGATTAAAAGTTTTGATTATTAATTCTTAAATTGTGCTTTGTATAATAGTGCGGTTTTAAAAAAATAACACAAGTCATTTGAGTTACATGACGAGTTCACTGAAACTAATAAAAGATAAATTATAATATTAAATAATCCAATTACTATTTTAAGGCATGATATCGCTTATCGTATCACTTTTGACTCATCAAAAGCAATGGTCATTTTTTGAACGCATGGAACAGATTGACATAGTTTTAAAGAATGATTTTGCAATTCTAACACCAAAGAAGGTAGCAAGGACTATTGTTATAGGATTCTTAGTATTTATTAATGTTGCAATAATCATGCTAATAATAATATCATACTATGTCTTTGAAATGCTTCGTTTACCATCAATCATGCTCTGCATATCATACTATGTAGCCAATCTGCCTTATGCTGTTGTAATTATACAGTTTTGTTTCTCTGCTAACGCCATTACAAAACGATTCTTTTATATTAACAACATCTTCCGTCAACTTGCAAATAATGACATACCAAAGGTTTTCGATTTA